CGCAGGATTTTATTTTGCTTTTGGACCAGAGCTACTATTTAGCATCATAAAGCCCTAGAATAAACCATTTCACCTCCAGGAAGGCCCCCAAAACAATAAGCGGCGCGGGGGCACAACGGTGGCACAGCTGTGGGGGATACACAGCTGTAGCACAGCTGCGGCACAGTTCAATAATCTACAGGTGCCACAACTGTTGTTCCGAGTGGTGTCACCTATGTGTCATGCCGGCAGAGTAGGCTTAGATCTAACAAGAAACATCGGCTTCAGCTCAAGCTTGGGCTTAGTTTTGTGCTTAGACTTAGGCGTAGTCATAGGCTTACGTTTAGGCTTGGGCTTAGGCGTAGGCTTAGGCTTCGCTTAGGCTTAAGCTTCTGATTAGGTTCACGCTCAGGCAAAGCGTAGGCTTAACTTAGGTTAGGCTTAGGTTTAAGCCCAGGCTTAGGCTTAAGCTTACAATTAGGTTTGCGCTCAGGAAAAGCGTTGGCTTAACGTAGCGTAGGCTTAGGTTTAGGCTCAGGCTTAGGCTTAAGCTTAAGCTTATGATTAGGCTTAGTCACTGAATTAGGGTTAGGCTCAACAAACCTTGAACCAATCGGCCGTTTTCTCGAATATCGTGTCGAGGTCGTTCTGGCCCGCGGCCATGCATAAGAATAAAGATGGCGTTAGCAGATGAAGGCATCGCATCGGTTGGGCTGGAAGAGCTAAATTTCGGCTTTTATACCGTATTCCCGCCCCGCCCACCACGTGGATGCCAAAAGGGGATTCCCCGCACTCCCTGCACGCGATGATGCAAAAGTTGTTTTTATTAGCCGATGGCTGCGTGGAAGATCATGAAATGAAAAGTTCAAAAACAAGATCAGGAGAGGACGGAACCAGAAATTATTTTGAAATCGGGGTTGATGTCTGGATTTGGGGCGTTTTGGGGGCTTGGAAGCTAAAAATAGAAGTAAGGTATTCTTAGAAAAAATTCAGGTTTTTGGAAGCAGCAATTGCGTTGGCGAAAATGCCGTATTGGCCCTAAACGACAAGAAATGCGACGTAGAGATAGCGATAGAGAGAGAGAGAGCGAGAGAGAGCGAGAGAGCGACATAGAGTGAGCGAAAGAGAGAGACGACAAACGCTAGACGACTCTTACTTACCGTAATTTTTATAGTTGTAAATCGGAATTGATATAGATTGGCTGAACGAAGGGGAGAGAGAGAGAGAGAGAGAGAGAGAGAGAGAGAGAGTGAGAGAGATAGAAAGCGAGAGAGGAAGAGAGAGAGCTAGAAAATTATTTTTCATATTTTACGCTTTCCAGCCTTTTTTAAATAGATTGGAGCTGATTTGGACTAAAATGTCGGAGCATTTTATAGCAAATAAACAATATATGTTTCCAAATACACAGCTGCGTGCAGTACCGACCCTCAAAAATCCTAGAAACTCTGCCGACCCGGTTTTATAGCACCAGGACCGGATTGCGCAACCCGAAAAGTGACCGGCAAAGTGACTTTTTTGGCAATTGGGAGGCGAGGGTGGGCTAGCGAAGAGAATTGTGGAAGTGGAGGGGAGGGGGACAGCGGGTAGGGGAGGATGATCCGGATATCCGAGGGGGTGGATGGAACCAGAAATGGACCGATCAGGGGGGATGGATGGACTGTGTGGAAATGACTGGCTTCTGACCCCGTTTCTCTTTCTGGCACTACCTGGATATCTCGCTCTCATTTCCTTCGCTCTTTTTGCCTGGTTCTCTCTCTCTCTCTCTCTCTCTCTCTCTCGCTAGATCTCTCTTACTCTCCCTCTTTCTCCCTCTCTTTCTCTCTCTCCCTCACTCTCTCTCGTCAGGCGTTTAGCGGATAAGCCCTAGATAAAAGATGGATATGAGCATTACTTCGGGCTTGAACAACAACATCAAGCAGTAATTGCTCGGAAGAACGGACAAAAACCTCATTTTCAGAAGCGGGCTCGGTGGGCGCCTCTCTTCTCGTATGGCTCATCTCCGGCGTGTTCACCGCCATCGGCGCGTACTGCTACGCGGAACTCGGAACCTTGATCAAGGTACGGTACCTTGCTACGTTATTGTGTACCCGCGTTGATACGGGGTGTAATCAGTACGCAAGAGTACCATAGCCACTGTAAAGGGTACCGCATCGTACTGTATGCGACGTCTTGTGTAGTACGTCAGTACGGCTGCGTACAGTTGACGATGTATTGCGTAAAAATTGGTATTTGCAAGCGTAGTGAATACGGTACAGTAACCACATTCATGACCCCTACAGAAATCGGGGGGTGACTACGCGTATATCATGGAGGCGTTCGGGCCCTTCCTCGCCTTCCTCCGGCTCTGGATCGAGGCCATCGTCGTCAGGTGGGCATTTGACTTTTGCCTTCAAGGACCCTTTAACCCGTGATAATTCCACGCTAAAACAAGTTACGCAGGCCGTGCACGGTGACGATAACGGCGCTGACCTTTGCCATCTACATCCTCCGCCCGTTCTTCCCGAATTGCCCGCCACCGGAAATGGCCCCTGAACTGCTTGCCGTTTGTCTGATTGGTGAGTGAATACATTAAAAAGTTACATTTAATTTATGAAATAATTAAAAGTAAAATTATTTTAATTGAAATCTGGAACTTAGGGGTTTTTGCTATATGTAATATGTTAAAAGATAATTTAGGCTTAATTTAGTTTAATTTAAATCATATCTAAACTACATTAATGACCTTCACGTTAAACCCTAACTTCCATTCCAGTCCTCATGACGGCCATCAACTGCATCTCCGTACGGGCGGCCACGTTTGTCCAGGATACATTCACCGTCGCTAAGGTGATAACTTCATTCTAAACCAGACACCTGCTTGGCCGATTGGTAGTGGGCTGGCCTCCCAACGGCAAGGCCAGGGTTCGACCCCCGCCCGCGGCCAAATTTTTGCTTTTTGATCTCAGACTGCATAACAAATGATATTTCAAAGATTCTAACTACAAAACTTCGCAATTCAGGTATTTGCCCTGTCGATGATCATCGTCACCGGCGCGTATCTGCTGTGCACAGGTTGCAGTTTGAGCTTTTTGACTTCACTACGCCTTTAAAAATAAGTAAATAGGTGAGTAAATCTTTAGGAAAATCGCAATACTACGACTCGTTCAACCCGTTGTTCGAGAACACCTCCAAGGACTTCACCACGATGTCATTGGCCTTCTACTCGGGGCTGTTCGCCTACTCGGGCTGGAATTTCCTGAATTTTATCGTCGAAGAGATGAAGGACCCCAAGAGGTGGGTATTCTAATCATTTAACTGAGTTCTTGAAAGGGATCTCCCACTAGCCATCGCCATCTCAATTTCCTCATGCACGATCATCTACTTCTTGACGAACGTCGCCCTGTACACGGCCATATCGCCGGACGAGATGTTGGAGAGCCCCGCTGTGGCTGTCGTCAGTTTTTAGCAGTTTTATTTTTTAGCTGGACTTTAGCTATTCGCCAACAAACTCTTCGGGCCGCTCGCTTTTTTGATGCCAATTTTTGTGGCATTTTCGACGATTGGGTCGTCGAACGGGCTGATTTTGACGTCGTCGAGGTGAGAGAGCGAGAGAGAGAGACAGAGAGACAGAGAGAGACAGAGAGAGGAAGCGTGAGACAATAAGATATCCATTTTTCAGACTCTTCTACGTTGGCGCGCGTGAGGGCCAAATGCCCGAAGTGTTCACGATGATCAACAAACAGACCGGCACCCCGATCCCAGCCGTCCTGCTTACGGTAGTTCCCCCTAGAACGCTGAAGCCATTTTTCAGGGCCTCCTCTCCATCATGTACCTGGTGCTGTCGAAGAACGTCTACGCGCTGATCAACTACATTCAGATCAGCTACTGGCTGGCCATAGGGGCGGCCATCGCCGCTCTGTTCTATTTGAGGAAAACGATGCCGGATGCGCCGCGGCCGATTAAGGTGGGTGAAGGGTATTTCTCTCTCTCTCTCTCTCTCTCTCTCTCTCTCTCTCTCTCTCTCTCTCTCTCTCTCTCTCTCTCTCTCTCTCTCTCTCTCCTTCTCTCTCTCTAAAACTGATAAAACCAGGTGAACCTCATCTGGCCGGCCATCTTCTTCATCGGCTGCATGGCCCTCGTCTTCATCCCAATCTTTGCCGCCCCCGTCGATACTGGTATTTTCCCTTGCGGTTACAGTAACCCGGTCACCCTTTAGCCATCGGGCTCTGCATTATGCTGACCGGCGTCCCGGTGTACTTCATTTTCATCGCGTGGAAGGGCAAGCCGAGATGGGTGCAGAAAATGACGGGTAGGTAGCGAGAATCCTTGAATCCTTTAATAAAACGGCAGTGTAGAAATGAAGTAAAATTCAATAAAAATATTATTATTAATAAAATCAAATAATGCCAAAAACTAAAAATTTAAATATTTAAAAACCCGAATTTTTGGGTCGTAAATATTTGGACGTCTTCAAGCGGTTCCACCAACCAAAAATTGGATTTTTTAAGCCACTAAACAAAATCCACATTTAAAAAGCTCTATGAGTATTTTGGACATAGCGACATCTTCGAGCAGTTCACAGCCCCGAAACCCCCAATTTTCTTGGCACTGAAAAAAAACCCACTTCTTAGACCATCTTAAAAAAATTTGCAATTTACCCTTGGAATTTCGCGACGTCTTCGAGCAGTTCAACCCAGGAAACTTCATGCTAATTTTAGAATCGACCACAGTCTTCATCCAGAAGCTGTTCATGGTGGTCAACGACGAGAAGACCCAATAGATGCCCGGGAAACCCCCCGTCGTTCTTTCAGGTGTCCCCTGCCTCACTCACTTCCGGTACGAGTTCAAAGCCTTCAGCGTATCTCAATAAATGTCACTTTATTTGTAAGGTTAAATTATGCAAAAATTATATATGCAAATCACGGACAAAAAACCATAAAATCGTTGTATTGCACCAGAGGAAGTCATATTGCGTCTCTCTCTCGCTCTCTCTCGCTCTCTCTCGCTCTCTCTCTCTCTCTCTCTCTCTCTCTCTCGCTTCACGTCGGCTTCTCCTTATTCTTCGAGTTCCCGTAGTAGGTCCAGTAGAAAATCTGAACGTTTTGAAATTACCGTATTTTTTGGTACTTTTGGCTAATTTGCATACGGAAACTTCCGAAACCGAAGTTAATTGAAAATCGAGTTAAAAACCCACGTTAAAAGCCAAAAACGATAGCGGAAACATGATGCTGCTGATCTGGTCAATGCGCTCGGGCGGCCAGTTTGACCCGGTTCGGCGCTTCCATTTACTGTCTGGAACGTTTGAATTTTGCCTGAACGGGTTGCGGATGCGTCGCGTGTGCGTTACGTTAATGGCATTTAGCGTTTGTTTTCCTTAGAACCTAGAAAGCCCTGGACCTCCAATGGTCTCTGCTAGCCTGCCGTTGGCTAGAAAATGGCTTTTCCCATCTCACCCACCTTTCTTGGGCTCACTCTTGCAAGCCGCCGGGAGCATGAACCGTTTCTCGTAAAGGCACAGGCCTTTTGGTGAGGCTTCATAGGCTTCGCTCTAAATTGAAGGATTTCTATCTGTCTCTCTTGCTCTCTCTCATTCTCGCATCCCTCTCTCTCTCTCTCTCTCTCTATTCAAAACCTCCCGTACTACCTACCTCCTTTCGCTTCGGGCTCTTCGGCTTCGGCGGCATCTCCCGCACCTTGTAGCCGATGATCGCCAGCTCTAACAGCGAGCAGAAGATGAACGTCATTGACACCAACATCCAGACATCTATGAAATTTTTGCACGTATTTCCAGGGTAATCTACCAATTGCTTTGACGTAGGAGACACGCGGCAGATTCCGCATAATGTTGCCGAACTGGAAAATCATCGCCAGGAGGGCGTTGACGCCCAGCATCGTACGGGCAGGGATGGCTCGCGGGCCAAGCGAGAAGGAGACCCAACTAAATAGGGGGTATGAGAGAGGGAGAGAGGGGAGAAAGATAGAGAGAGAGAGAGAGAGAGAGAGAGAGAGGGGGGGCTAGAGCGGGAGAGAGCTAGAGAGGGAGGGAGCGAGATCAAGAGAGGGAGAGGGAGAGTGAGAGAGAGCGAAATAGGGAAAGAGAGTGGCCTGAAAACCCTACTTCAAGTCATGGATTTCTACGAAATTCTAGCTTTGCACAATTTGACTTCTACCTTTTTACCCACCTGATAAATATCGTGAGATATGTCGGAAGATACGCCTGCATAAAATACCAAATATAACGGCGCTCAAAAACGAGCGTCAGATGCAGCTCGTCCCACATTCCCGCGGGGTACGGCTACAATGTAACGCATTTTACGATTATATTTCGAGTCCAGCCAGCCAATTAAATACCTAAAACAACCCCTACCTCCTCCTTTTGCATCGTTCGAATGCCGACGAGGGTAAAATCTGGGAGCGTGATTTCCGCCAAAGTCCTGACTGCTGTCCCGTCATCAGTTGTCCATCGCATCTTCACTTCTTGATTGTTATAATTGAAACTAGGTACAATTGGGTTTAATTCGGCGGCGAATACCTTTCATAGATCAACCCGCACTCCTGGATGTCCATCGGGAAATCGGCTAGATCAAGGTAGCATGGACCTTTGACGCGGACGCGCTGAAAAGAGGGTTGTTCTATCTTCTTCGCTCTCTCACTCTCACTCTCTCTCTCTCTTGCTCTCTCGCTTCAAAATAACCCTTTTAAACCTACATAATTAACCATGACGGTCCCATTCGGATAGAGCATCAGAAATATACTCCGAAAGGGCGAGTCGTGAATCTGGGCCACCTTGCTGTTGATGAAGCAGCTATTCGGGGTCCACAGCCGGTCGAGCACCTAGATTTCCGGTTGCGAAATTCATCATTAGAGGGCCAAGGATGTCAGGCCATGGATTTTTCCGCGACTGCGACACGCAACGCTTCTTCTCTCCTCCTCTCTTCCCGCCTCTCCTTCTACTCCTCGCCATCCATAGCTATGCCTTACATGCCCCTTTAACCGCCCGTGTTCCATACCTGATGATTCAACGACAAATTCCCCTTGCACGGGTTGAGGTGCTCGAACCGCAGCGATGGGTCGTGCCACGTCTCCGTGATGTAGATGTCCATCTGAAGATTTTGAGCTTCAGCTGCTTCAATCCGCCCACCTCAAAGTCGTTGGTCATCTCGTCGATGGAAGAGATTGCCTGGATCCAAATCTCCACCGACACCGTCATCCCGTCATCTTCTAGAAGTTCAGAACGCACATCAGAAACGTCAGTAGACTTACTCGGAATTCGAAACTTGTTGTAGCCCGTCTCATTGACGAGCTTGTCGATGATGTCGGTGTCTCGGGAGCAGTTCCGCTTCGTCGGGTCTTCGCTAAAGTTTTAAAGTTTTAGGAGGCAAAGATGATGGTTTCCGGTTGCATTAATGGCAGGACTGAACGAGTTCAAACGACCTACAGGTGATGAACATCATGTTCCTCCTCCACCGACAAATTGTAGTCGTGGTCGATGACTACGGTAGATAAGACGGCCTGAAAAAAATGGATAATAATCCAGTTTAAAGGAGCGTGTTGTCAGCGTAAGCATGAAATTCTTGCCAAAATACCGACAGCTAAAATGCCGACAAGTTAAAATTTGGACGCTGAAAACGTCGATTCATACTGAGAACGTGGTGTCGGCATTTTTGTTGCCGATTTTGAAGGCCGACATTTTGCTTGTCGGTATTTTGGCTGTCGACAGTATGCCGTCGAAATTTTGCTTGGCGGCATATTTTCTGCTAGAATTTCCGACTGTCGGCATTTTGCCTGTCGGTATTTTGCATGTCGGCATTTCGCCACCACATCGACAAACCCACCTGAAACACGAGCCAAAGAAACGGCGCCGACTGCCACATCGGACGGTTTAGACCATTTTTCTGGGACTTGCAGCTTCACCGAGTTGTTGGCAACTCTAAAGATTAGAGATTTTTACATAAAATTTGAAAAAGTACACCAAAATCAATCGATTAAAAACCTGTAGATATTAAATTGTCAAAATGGCGAAAAAATCAACTATTAAAATCGACTAAAAGGATATTAGAAGAGCGGTCAAGGACGAGCGTTAGACGCAATTTTTCTAAAGCCCAAAATGTTGCCCCTCCCCTGTGACTCTCAAAATTCGGGGCGTTCGAATTTCCGGCGCGCGCCCGGGGGCCAACATTGGAAGTGGACTTCCGGGGGTGGGGGGGGGGGGGGAAGGGCCGGAAATCCAGACGAGGGGTCAGAAGCTGTCATAACCGAGGGGGAACACCTTTCAGGGGGTCGTGAAACCCTCGCGCAACTGGAGTTTCGGTAAGTGGAGCCGGAAAATCGAGCAGAGAGCGCTTGGGATCAAAGGGGCTATGACAAGGACTGATTTTCCTAATCCGGGAAGAAACTGGCAGATTTTCCTGGGGATTAAAGGGATCGTGACAGGGCAGAAGCGCTCCTTAAAATGGGAATAACGAGCAGGGATTCCTGGGGGATTAAAGGGATCGTGACAGGTCTAGAAAGCCGATTTTTTGAAACCAAGGGCAGCCAGCAGAGATTCCTGGGGATTAAAGGAATCGTAACACCTCTAGAAAAATCTGCAGAGATTTATTAAATAGTGTTTTTCGAGCAACGAGCAGCGATTATTGAGGATTAAAGGGGTGGTGACAGCTAATATGACTAGCATAAGAAATTGAAGGCAACAAGCAGCTCGGGGAATATAAAAATCCCAAAGGCTCTCTGCTAGCCTGCTCTTGCCATTAAAGGCATCGGAAAGGCATTTCTATGGATTTGTCTGTGGCTTCAAGATATGCTAAATTTAACAAGCAACGGTAAACGCGACGCGGATTGGACGCCGCGACACGCAACGCGTGCAATCTACATAATCCATTACGCTATGAAAAAGCAATTAAATGCATGTCCTTGTCTTTTCCATACCTTTAAATCGCCGTAAAAATCGCACCAAACGTCGACATTTTGTGCCGTTTTGGCGTCCTGCAAGCTAAAAAGTGCCCTTGTTCCCGGCTTGAAACAATGCCTAAAATGTCCTTGGCCATGTCGAAAAGCACCCACTTGTCGGGAGTACGTCCAGGTAGCGCTAGAAAAAGCGGGCGCTCCCCGGGGGTAATTGCCCTCTCGACCCCTGACCGGACGAGTCAGAGCCCCGAGGGGTCCCGCAACGAAAACATTCCAGCCCGGGGCGGGAGCGGTTGCTGTGTGTCGACAATTATCCACTTGTGGCCCTAGGGGCCCGGCCACGAATTGCCACCTAGTCGACTTTGGGCACTACTTGGAAATGTTACGGCTTCTCGGGAAAAGCCGGCGAACCAGGAAGGAGCTTGGAAAATCTGTCATTAAAGGGACGGTGTGGGTATGATGGATTTTTTCGATTTTCAAGCGATCGTGGTGTGCTACGCGTGCTGTTCAAAAAGTCGGACAAACTTTTTAGAGTATTTTGAGAAGCTGCTGTCGTTACGTTACGTTATATTGCGTTACGTTACGTTACGTTACGCCACGTTACGCGTAGCTGGCGAGACCCTGGCGAATCAGGGATGCTTTGCTCTCTAAAGGGACGGGGAAGCGCTAGCATCGACCATGTCTGTTTACTAGGCCATGGCAGCTACGATATACGGCAAAATCCGTTGTTTAAAAAAAATTTGCTTGTGTACCTGTCGTGACTCAGCAAAGACTGGCGTCGATTCCTGGGCTTTTAAAGGGGCTAGAAACCGGAATAATCGACCCAATCGGTTCCCTAGGTCTCGACATATACGCGCGATTGATTTGGTGTGCGAGTGTATTACTGTAATTTAGTGTTGCGATGCAAAACGAGGCGTCGAAAGCGGTCGTTTTAGCGTTTCCTAGCCGCTTTAAGATCTACGAAAAATTGCTATGGGGAAATCACGGAATTTTTTACAATTTGATCTAGGATTACGGTAAGCTGGGCTAAACGGCTCAAGGCTAAAATGGGTACTCAACCCTTGGTGAATAGCAGTTAGCCGTGGCTGAACAAAGCCGGGGCCGGTGTGCAAAAATGGGCCTTCTCCCGCCGTCCATAGAAATGAGCCGTAGCCCCCCCCCCCCCCCGCCACATAAGCATATCACTCGCCGAAAATGCGGCCAGGGCTGTCCCTGCCGGTGAGTTTAGTCGTCATCAGACTTCTCTCATGGGAATGTGGGGTTCAGGAAAAGGGAGGGGGAAGGCAGATCCACTTTTCTGGAGGGCTTCATCTGACTCAAGTCTTGTCACAGGTGGGCTTAGGCTGCGGCTTGGGCTTGGCTTAAGCTTAGACTTCGCTTACTCTGAAACTTAGGTCCTCGCGTATCATTAGTGCGTTAACCTATTCAGAAACGCTGCTACGAGCTAAATTCAGCCTTGCTGGTCCCCTAAAGTCCCGTGAAGCCCCAAAAATTGGCCTGAAGACGTTGGCGGGACTATAGGTTGGCGATGGGAGAGCGTGGGGAGGGTGTGTGGCGTCTCCGTTCCATTAGTCTGGCTGTCGACGTTGATTTGACATGAGGTATCCAATAAGGGAGATGGGAGAGAGAGCGAGAGAGATGGAAGTAGGAGAGAGTGGGTAAGAGAGAGCGTGAGATAGAGAGAGAGAGAGTGATAGAGAATCAGCGAGAGAGGCAAAACGAGAGACAAAGCGAGAGAGAGAGAGAGAGAGTGAGAGATACGTCCAAAATCCAGGGTATAAAATTCTCGTTCTAGAAGTATAATTTATCGCAAACGAATCATCATCTATATCGGTGTGTTCTTGTGGGCGTATTCAAATGAGGTCGTGGGTGTGAAATCACAATTCTGGGGCTTAAGAAAATTCGAAATCACGCGACTTTCAAAATTTCCATGCGGGCTTCTTGTCCTCCTTTTTCATGGCACGAACGGGGGTCCGGGAGGGAGAACGGCGGTCCTGACGGCCATCTGTTGAGAGGGGGACGTGGAGAAGTTGTCTGGAATGGAAGAGGTAAGGTAGGTTAGTCGGATTTCCGGTCCCTTTAATGGCAGAACAAGGCTGTACGCAACGCGAAACGCGATACGCGACACGGCACACGCTCTTTACCACCGCCTATCTCTCTCTCGCTCTCTCTCTCCCTCTCTTTCTGTCTCGCCTTCCCTTCCCGATCCCGTTAAACCTCACCGGCTTCCCGTCAAAGGTGGGCTCTTATCACGTAGATCCCCCTTCGAGCCGATCTGTTCCGGCGATCTCTCCTAAACACTGAACTCTTTGAAGACGTCCCTCCACCCCACCTTCTCCCTCTCCTCACTGCTGTCCCCCGATGAGAATTGTGACGACATTTGGTGATGCATGTCGGCGATCAGATCCGATTTTTGCTGAATATTTTTGCTGGAGTGTTCGAAGAATTTTTCAAACCTCCAAGGCTCGCTCGAGATCAGTGATTCTCTCTCGGAGCGCCTGCTCATCAGAATGGCCGTCTTCTGTTTGACAATCGATCGAATTTAGGGAGGTAGTCCTGGAACATGGCATTAAACACTTAAGCGATTGTCTCTACCCTAATAAATCCCCGACTCACTTTCTCCGTTTTCGTGCCTGTTGCTCCTCCTCGTCCTCTTCATCCTCATCCTCCTCTTCCTCGTCCTCCTCTTCGGCTTCGGTTTCCTTGGCCGCCTCCAGAGCCCTGATCCTCGCTTCCAATGTCTCGTTCTTCCTCCTCAACTCCTCGGTCTCCTTTTGGTGGGCCTCATTCAGCTCGGCCACCTTTTCGCTGTCCTTCACTTCGCGAGGTCTAAAAACAACGGGTTTTTAGGTGTCACTGTCGCTTTAAAATTGGGCAATTGGGTTAAGGTGCTTGCCAGTCCCTTGAAAATTCCCGGGTTCTGATGCGTTAACGGGGGGTGATAAACTCCTCCCTCCCCGTTAACGAACCAGAACCAAATTCCTTGACCCTAACTTACCGCTCATCAATGCGGTCGGCAAAGCTGTCGAGCTGCTGCGTTTTTCGCTTCAAATCATCCTGAAATTCACCATAAAAACTAACTCCCAAGCCCACCTTCAAAGCCGCCGACTCGGAGATGAGCTCGCGGATGCGGGCCTCGAGCTGCTCGAGGCGTTGCGTCTTTTCGGTGTTGTCGTCGAGCAGACGATCCATCTCGTCCCCGTGCGCGTTCCGGAGGCGCCGATTCTCGCGTTCGAGCTCGCTAAAATTCAGTGGAAGTGATGGGAAACGTAAAAATCGGGTAACCGACGCGACAACGGCGACAAGTAGCGGAAAATTCGAAAAATTTAACTAAAAACCAACCTAATCCGTTTCTGCAGATCGTCGCAGTCACGCTCGTGCTCCAGCTCGAGCTCAGCCACCTGAAAAATCTGCTATGGAAAATCCGGCATTGCCTTTTTTCCTAGAAGTAAGCCTAAGCCGAACTTCAGGCCAAATCTATAAGCATACGGTTAGCTGAACCTCTCGCAAATGTTCACCCACCTTTTCGTGCATCTCCTGCTCGGTGCTCTTCCCCGAGAACTCCGGAGTCGCTAACAGCTCCAGGCTGAAAAGCTCATGCTCAAAAAAAGCAAAAGCTCCCACCGTATCTCGTCGCGGATGACCATCAGCTGATCGGCATGGACCTGGTTCTCCTGATGGAGGTGCTCCTTGAGCTGCTCGATCTCGGCGTCCTAAATTCATTTTATGGTCTCTCTCTCTCTCTCTCTCTCTCTCTAACTCGCGCTTTCCCCTCACTACCTTGGCCTCCATCCGCTTCCTATAGCCATCGATCTGCTCCCGCAGCGCCGCGGCATCGTCCAGAATCTTGTTCAGCCTCGGTTCAAGCTCGGTCTCCTACACATAGTGCTAACTTGTTGAAAACTTGTGGCGTCTCACCTCATCCTCCTGCTTTTCCCTCAGCTCGATCCTTAGTGCGGCGACCTGCGAGTTGAGGAGGTCGCGCTCGGCTTTCAGGGATTCCATTTCTTTGGAGGTCGCCTGAAAATGGGAAGTGAAATCTTTCTCTCTCTCTCTCTCTCTCTTTCTCTCTCTCTCTACGTCGTCTGTCTCCAAGGTAAACCCCACCTCACGCAGCTCATCCCGATCGGCTCTAGCCGAGTGCTCGAGATCCTCCTTCAGCGCGTTGTACTGCTCCTCGAGCTCGTTGAGCTTGGTGCTGAACTCCTTCTTCATCGCGTGCTCCCGGGCTTCGGCCTAAATGGGAAAGGATTAAGCTCTCGGCGAAGGTTAGCTTGGTTGTAGCTGGCTGGCTTTGGCTTAGGCATAGGCTTAGGCATAGCTTAGGATAAGGCTTAGGCTTAGGCTCATGCTCAAAACTCGACAAACCTGTTGCTTCTCCTTTGCCAGCAACTTCTCGTAGTTCTCCTTCGCACTCTCCTTCTCCTTGCTCACCGTGTCGAGCATCTAAATTTGGCCGCCATCAACCCCAAGCCGTTCAACCAACCGCCTCGAGGGCGTGGACCTGCGAGTCGTGCACATGGCTCTGGGATTCGCTTTCGGATTGGAGGTTCGAGCGCTCCTAGGAAAGGTTTTAGAAGTTCCTCTGATCCCCCTACCTTTTCCAGGAACTCCACCTTGTTCTTGAGGGCCTTGACCTGGGTGTTCAGGTCGTGGATGACCGACTCGAGCTCGTTGCGGGCGCACTCGGCCGAAGCGAGCGTTTCTGGGGAAGATATTAGAGTTTATAACGCTGGATTGTCGATAGTAGCTCTTCGGAAACTTTTTCTGCGCTACGTCTAACTCTAAATTTCATCTACTACTGCCCGACAATCTTAAAACCCGCGCAACTCTCACTATATTTGCTCTTCAGCTCCTGCGCCTTCCGATCGGCTTCGGCTTTTCCCTCGGCGCACTCGCTCGTCATCCGATTCAACTTCCCGAGCGCTTCACCGAGCTGCCGGCGAGCATCTCCGAGCTGAAAAGACGACTCTCAACTTCAAGGAGTTCACCCACATCTCGGTTGATCTCGTCGACCTGCTCCTCCTTTGCTTTGAGCTTCTTTTGGAGAGAAGTCACCTAGAAGGGGGAGCTTTTTAAAGGGGCGTGTAAGGCAGGGTCATGGATTTTCGGATTCTCCAAATTTTTCCGAGACGCTACGCGCGCTCTCCCTTGTACGGACAAATTATCCAATTTCAACTTTTTTTCAAAATAAACCGATTGCCCACCTCATTTTTCCAACTATTCAGCTCATCCCTGACGCTCTTGGAGCGATTCTGAAGCTCATTCAGACGATCATTGAACTCGTCTTGCCTGAAATTGAACTTAAACTCAGCAGTTAAATTTTAAAGGGACGGTGACACTTGAAAATCAACAGAAAATCACTTACCTGGCGGCGAGTTCAGCCTTCAGGGCGCTTTCATGGTCCCGCAGCGCCTCCAGCTCTTTTGCGTACAGCATCTTCGCGGCGGCCAACTCGGTTTCGTACAGCGACTGGGCCCGGCGGAGCTTCATCTCAAACGTCTCGCCGAGGCGCTCCTGGAAATGTGATTTTTTTTTCAAGGTTTTAGCACTTTTAAAACCCGACAATTGGGAGCTGTCAAAATTTCAAAATGCGTGGCTACGAATTCTTAGTGTCCGTGCTCCTTAAAACCGAATTTTCCAGTAAAAGCAGCAACTTCCGAGTCCCTTTAAACCCATAAAAACCGACTTTTTCGGCTCTCAAGCATTTCCGCTCCTCCTCCAGCCGCCGGATCTCGAGGATATATCTAAGAAGCGTTTTTATGGGAAAAGCAAAGCCAAAAATAAGCACAAACTGCTCACTTTTGCTCCAAGTTCAGCAACTGGCTCTCCGAGAAGCGCTGCTCGAGCAGCCGGATCTCCTTCTGGTGCTCCTTGCGCAGCTTCTCCAGCGCCGACTCCTTTTCGCGCTCGAATTTGTCCTAAATTGGTTGATTGCGGTTGAAGCTACTAAATAGATTTCTATACAACTTAATTAGGAGATTTCTAGATTATTAAGCTATTAAATTTAATATTCATTACCATTCTTAATAGCTATTTAAATCAGAGTTTGAATTCTCAGCATTAAGCCTTTAAAATACAGGGTGTCCCAAAATTATCCGGACAAAGTTGCAAAGCGGTTTTTTCCTATTTTTTCCCTGTTTTTGCAGACCATAACTTAATTTCTATGCATCGTTGAAGTGTATTTAATAAGCTTAAAAAGAAAACTGCGCGTGAATCCGTCATATCTCTTCGGAATAAATTGGAGAAGTTCGAACCAAATTTCTCTCTCTCCTTGCAAACGCTGAAAACGCGCATGCTTTCCGATCCCATAAGAAACTTCAGCATGACCGGACGAACGAAGAAACCACAGGAAGTGTTCGGAAATGACCAGTCAACACTTTAGTCGGCCCAGAAACGCTAGGTTTACACCAGAAAAAAAACAGTCAGCAAAAAAGTTGAAATCGAGGTACGCGCCGCCCCGGTTGCCTTAAAGGTTTTGCTCTAGAGGAACCCTAAAAGCGTGATATGATTGTTGTCAAAGACTAGAGACATAAACTTTTGGCGGTAACGATGATGCACAAGCGATTTAAATTAAGCTAACTTTGATTTTTGAGGAGCTTGAGCACGAGCAAGCATCGAAACACCTTGCCCAGTAATGGGATGGAAATCGGTATTAAACGGAAAAATGACCATTAACAAGTCGGAATCTTGGCGGAGTTAGGTCCGTTTTGCCAGAAAACGTCATTCCTTGTCCACAAAAACGCCTGAACACATTTTGAAAGTTTACCGCAATTTTTGTGTTATTTAAGAGGCGAAAAATTTTAACATGCTCTTCGCTCGATTGTGAAGCTATTTTGCATTCTACCAGAATTTTTTTGCACGGTGCATCGAAAATGCCTCAAAAAATATTATGAAATACAATGCGGAGGCCGAAAACAGCGGAAAAATTGAAAAAGTCAGTTTTCAGTTTTGTCCGGATAATTTTGGGACACCCTGTAGCTTACCTGCAAGGCCTGGAAGCTCTTCATGCGGTGCTCAAAGTCCTTTTTCGCGCCCAGCACCTCTTCGCTGAGCGCCAAGATTTTTGTCGAGTACTCGGCCTCCAGCTTTCGCTCGCGCTCCGTGACGCGCTCCCTTTAAGATCACGTTCTTTAAGCCAAATTAAAATACCTACTTGTACTCCGTGAACGTGCCCATGACATTGTATTTCTGACGCTCGTACTCGGCCACCGTATCCTCAAGGGATTGGATTTTGCGCTGGAGTTCGCTCTCGCGAATTCGGGGTGTTCCTGGAAATGGTTAGACTGGATGGAAATTCCGATTTTTGCTATGGATTCTGGTTGAATTCTCCAGAAGCTTAGGCGCGATATAGAGAGAGCGAGAGAACGAGAGAGAGATAGAGAGAGTGAGACAAGGAGAGACAGATAAAGAGATAGTGAGAAAGTGTGAGAGTGAGAGAGAATGAGAGAAGGAGAGACAGATAAAGATATAGTGCGATAGTGAGATAGAGAGAGAGTGAGAGATAGTGAGAAGAGAAAGTGAGACAAAGTGAGACAAAGTGGGAGAAGGAGAGACAGATAAAGAGATAGTGAGAAAGTGTGAGAGTGAGAGAGAATGAGAGGGAGAGAGAGAGAGAGTGTGTGTGTGTGTGTAAATGAGAGAAACTGATGCTCACTCTACCTGGTATTGGCGATGACGCGGCCGACGGTTGCCGTAATATCGACAGCAACCCAGAATCCGTAAAAATATGTGGCGAGTGCGACTCAGGACTTGGCGGAATGGCCGATAGACTTGGCGGAGAGCCGCAGAGTTGCAGCTTCTGGAAGGGATACAACTAAAGAACGGCCATAAACACACGAGTCAAACTAACACTTGGGCCATAGGGGTCGAATCCTTGGCCCTAAGAAAGGATTACGATTATCTTGGCAACTACCTGATGTGTGGATACAAGGTCGGGTTTAGGGGGTGGCGCCGGCCAGGCGGAGATCATCGGATGCGAGCAGTGGGTGCGCTCACTGAAATGGCTGCAAAAAATGGGACTAGTACGCCTAGGAAGCGGCAGAATCGAGACGTTCTGACGACTAGGCATGGGGAGCTAGGCGCTAGGTCAAAAGACGCTAGCGGAGCTGGGAAGTACCTTCTTACGCAATGTATTATTACTCAGCACATTTTTTTCGTAAATACCTACCCATGTGGGCGCGGAGACCGTGAGCTGCGCCTCGACCCGTGCGGAGAGCGGAGGCGCTCCTCCAGCTCATCCGCCATGCACAGCACCCCAGCCGATCCGAGTTCATGTCGATGGGAAAGTGGTGAGAACTTGTAGCACAACAAAGTCGAGGTTATTCCACCATTCGGAGTCGCTAAAACGGGCAACGGATAAAATTTTCCGGTATCGAAATGAGAACAAGGGAAGGCCAAAATGGAGATGGATGGCCGCGGCCGCGACCTGCAACGCGCACCCCAAGGCTCAGAGAGAGGGAGAGAGAGAGAGAGAGGGGGAGAGGAGAGAGAGAGAGAGTGGGTGAGAGAGAGAGCGAGAGATCGAGGGAGAGGATAGAGACGGAGAGAGAGCGAGAGGGAGTGAGTGAGTGAGAGAGATGGAGGGAGAGAGGGAGAGGGATAGAGACGGAGAAAGAGAGAGAAAGAGCGAGAGTGAGAGAGAGGGAGAGAGGAACAGAGAGATGGCCAGAGATAGGCCAAAATTTGCCACTATGCATAACGCAATAAAACGATGTGCTCGACAAGGCGCGCGGTTCGTGTCGTGAGCAGGGAAAATCTAGAGAAAATTCCTGAAAAATCCTTAGCCGAGCCTTGCCTGGGTCTTCAGCCCTAAAAAACTATTGACTATAGATGTAGTCCGGAATCGCCGGAAACGCAACCAGCCAGCAGACGTCAGCTGATCTATACATATTTTGATCAGCCGGGCCCTGGTCTGGCCACTAAAAAGAGAAAAGTGCAGGGGGAATGGGGAGGGCGTAAGGAGGGATGGAAGCGGAATTGACGTGGATGGAGGGTAGTGATCGTACAATAAAGGTACGAGACCCCCGAGGGGGGAGGGCATCAGCCTCCCCGGGTCAGCTGTTCGACATGGCCAAGAAGGACCCAACCTGGCGATTACACACGAAAGACAGAGAGGAGGGAGTCTCTGAACCACAGACCCATCAACCCCATGTCCGCCTATTTCATAGCCACAAATGGATGAACGGAAGTGAAAGGATGGGCAGGGCGAGCTAGCAGAGACCAGTGGGGAAAACCAGCAGAGACTAAAGAAGCCTGAAAAACTCTTTCTTGCTCTGTTTAGATGCTTGAACGTTCCCGCGATGGGTTCGAAGACGTCTGGCCGTCGACGAGTTCGAGGAGTTCGAGCGGTTCAGAAGCCACACGTCAACGAAGTGCTGTCGCTCATGCTCTCTGCTAGCTCTCCTCAATGGTCTCTGCTAGCTCTCCTCAATGGTCTCTGCTAGCTCTCCTCAATGGTCTCTGCTAGCTCTCCTCAATGGTCTCTGCTAGCCTCCTCAATGGTCTCTGCTAGCTCTCCTCAATGGTCTCTGCTAGCTCTCCTCAATGGTCTCTGCTAGCTCTCCTCAATGGTCTCTGCTAGCTCTCCTCAATGGTCTCTGCTAGCTCTCCTCAATGGTCTCTGCTAGCTCTCCTCAATGGTCTCTGCTAGCTCTCCTCAATGGTCTCTGCTAGCTCTCCTCAATGGTCTCTGCTAGCTCTCCTCAATGGTCTCTGCTAGCTCTCCTCAATGGTCTCTGCTAGCTCTCCTCAATGGTCTCTGCTAGCTCTCCTCAATGGTCTCTGCTAGCTCTCCTCAATGGTCTCTGCTAGCTCTCCTCAATGGTCTCTGCTAGCTCTCCTCAATGGTCTCTGCTAGCTCTCCTCAATGGTCTCTGCTAGCTCTCCTCAATGGTCTCTGCTAGCTCTCCTCAATGGTCTCTGCTAGCTCTCCTCAATGGTCTCTGCTAGCCATCCTTAATGTTCAACGTTTGTTGTGCTTTTCTGCCTCGCTGGCTTCTTCGCCCTTTCCGGGTCAAACATCTTTTCCTTTAGGACCTTCTCCCCTTCTTCTTCTTCTCTCCATAATTCTGAAATCGATGTCCCTCCCCTCCCCTTTTCCGCTCTCATTTCTAATCCGCCCTACCCCCATGTTGTCCGTTGTTTGTGTGCGCAAAGAAGGTGCATAGCAACAGCCCCCACCCTCGCTGTTGTAAATATTAAATTTTTAGCTTTAGCTTTTTTAGTTTTTGAAATTTTTTTAATCGAAAACCTTCACTTATAGTTTCTAGGTATTTTTGGTCTATTTAGGAACTCTTTTAGTTCCTGCAGAATTGATTTTTGCCAGACTCTGATCTTTTCAAACAGCGTCGTGGTGTCCATTTATTGTTAAGAATTAGCCAGTAACAATTCCTTGTTTATTATAGAGCAGAAAAAGGCAGATTCCAAGGTCTTCGCAGCGCGACGCAGCCATTCCGGCCAATTGGTACTCATCTCGGGGGCTTCCCCAATTCTCTCGATAAAGCCAAATCGACCCCAAGGTCATCCTATCGCTCTCTCTCTCTCTCCCCTCTCGCTCTCCCTCTCTCTCGTTCCCTCTCTTTCTCTCTCTCTCGACCTACCAGCCGGTGGGTCGGTTATCTTCCCTATCAAGCCAAGCGTGGGTGTGATATGTTGTGAGCAACTCCTGACCACCTCCGCGATTTTCTCAATGCTATTTGACCTCGATCTTCCGGTTGAGCACGAGATTGAGCATGAGCTAGTTCGAAAATAAGGCTCACTTACTCGATTTCTAGCTAAAGTCTGCACTGAATGACAGCTGGCTTGGACCAGATGTCAGAAAAAGTCTATCTTTTTTCCTTATTCTACTCTTTCTTTTGCTATCGTTTTTGAGGACCGGCCTTACCTAAATCTTCAAAAACTGTAAATTTAAATGCTCAAAATCTTCAAAAATCCTCAACAAGCTCACCGCAAAATGTGGTGGCGGCTAATCGAATTACCCACTTGCCGGCGTGCCCCAGAAATTACGGGCGTTTTTACGGCTCGCCTCGCCGTGATTCATCAGTTCAGCAAATTTTGTTTTGGTCATTTTTGTCTTTGCAAGACCGAGTAAAATTTGCTTTTTAGTTTTCAATTTTTCACCTGAAACACACATTTTGCGGTACCAATCCGGAACCTACGCACCGCCCAACCCGCTATATTTGCCGTGCACCGCCGGGCTTATGCAAATAGGGGCGGGCACTTTGACGTTGTTGCCGGCCACCCGGACCGTCCCTTTGATATTTCGGATTGATTGCTTCGAATTGGCTTTCGAATTTCGCAGAAAAAAACATAGAAATCATACCATAAGATTAGGCCAATTAATTTTTTATCATCCAAATTAGAGGTGTGAGAGAGGGAGAGAGAGAGAGAAAGACAGAGAGAGCGCGAGAAAGACAGACAAAAATTATCTCATTTTATAATTTTTACAAATTTCTGTAAATCCGCATTTTTCGCGTGTTTTTCGCAATTTCACTTTTTGTATGCTTATTTCCGAATTTGGTTGGATTTTAAAACCCGGATTTCCAGAAAAAGCACACGCTTTTTCCTACCCGAAAAAACCTCTATGTTCACTTTGTGTCCGTTGCACTCAAAAATCAGCATTTTTCTATGCCAAATCCGGTATTCGTAACGACAGAACTTTCATACGCGTGTTTCCTAGAAACGGAATGCCGTAGAAATTTTGGTTCGAAGCTGGTAGAAAGCCAATGCGGCGAGGACGAGGGAGACAGAGAGAGAGAGAGAGAGAAAGAGAGAGAGAGAGAGCGAGAGACAGGGAGAGTGAGCTAGAAAAAGAGAGCGAGAGCGGGAGATGGAGAGAGAGAGAGAGAGAGAGAGAGAGACAGGAGAGTGAGCTAGAAAAAGAGAGCGAGAGCGGGAGATGGAGAGAGAGAGAGAGAGAGAGAGAGAGAGAGAGAGAGAAAGAGAGAGGAGAGCGAGAGAGAGAGAGTGTGTGAGATAGCGAGTGACATCCAATTTTTTACCTCCAAATTTCCATGCCCAAATCTGTAGCCAGAACGACACAACCGGGTTTGCCCGGCGTCCAGACTTTGGCATTATGAGCCCCAATGCAAATAGAGAGCTAGAAAAACTTCACAAAATTCGTGCCCGCACTTAGCGCTGACTAACGCAACGTTTTTCTGATTTTTTTTTCCGGGTAGCACTGGTCAAATAGTTTTTGAATTCGGACTCCCCGCTGCCCTCAACTAGCCCCCTTCAATAGAATAGGGCGGAATGGCTGACCGCACACACAGCCACCGGTAAATATTTTCTTTTTCTGGCTGTCCGTCTCTCCGTCTCACTCACTCTCTCTCTCTCTGCCTCTCTCTCTCGCTATCTCTCTTGCTCCTTTTCCCATTTTGCCACTCAAAAACCCGCGGCTCCCACACCCGTCGCATACAACGGATTAGCACACTGCACCCGGCGAGTTGACGAGTTTTTGCACTAGAAAAACTTTTTTTGATGGATCCCAAGCCTCTCGGCTGCGTTTGACAGCGTTTTAATGTGCTTCCACATGTCTTTCCGGCCGTTTAGAGGTTTTTTTTGAACACTTAAAAGTATGGAATGTTTAAAAATAAAACATTTAAAGTTGTTGTTATCTTGAATTTTTGAAAGTTGAGGCAATTTGTAGCTTTTAAATGCACTTAAATCACTAAATTTTGATACAGTTTTCAATAAATTTTGTAAAGTACGATAGTTAAATCGTTAGAAACTAATTAAATGCTGATTTTTTAACCTATTCTCTCCATTTTTTTGGCGCCATGACAATATTCTTATTATTTTGCGAGAATATCTTTTATGAAGATTTAATTTTTTATGAGTTTTTGTGCTTTTCGTAACCTGCCTTCCCGGTACCCTTAAACAAATTTACTGCTCGTTTGTGATGTTTTTGTGGATATTTTTGTATTTCCATTCCGCGGCATTCCAAATTACACCCAATTTCAGCCCAATGACGATCTCATATTCGGGGAACTTCTTCCGGTTGCTCGCCCGGTGGAAGGGGTCCATATGGCGGTCGACGTGGAAAGAGCTGCTCATCTACCTCGCATTATACTACGCTATAAAGTAAGTAATGGGTTTTATTTTCTAAAATACAAATATTTAAGCTTTTAAAATATACCAAATTATGGTATCGCTTAACCATTAATGCACTAGCTAGACACTTGAAATTCAAGTTTACAAACATTTAAAAGGATCATACGTCATAAATTTTTCAGATTTTTCTACATGGAGGGTATCGATATGTTTTTTGACACGGACAAGTCGAGGCACGAGGCGAAGTAAGGGATTTTCGATACCATTAAACCATTTTTTGGGCGCTACTTTATCGGGATGTGCCGCCAGTTCAACGAGTACACCAAGCTGATCCCGCTCACCTTTTTGCTCGGCTTCTACGTGTCGAATGTCGTGGGAAGGTGTGAGAAAGTGGCTGCTCCCAGGAGCAAACTAGCAAAGAGCATTGAGGAATTTTTCGAAAAAACTTTTTTAGGCTATTTGAACCATTTTTCAGGTGGTGGCGCCAGTTCGAATGCTTAGCGTGGCCAGAGGATCTGCTCTCGCTGCTCGTGTTGGTGATCCCCGGGGAGGACGAGAGGAGTCAGAGGAGACGGCACGTCATCGCCAGATACCTCAACCTCACGGCAGCGCTGGCCTGGTGGGTGGCTTTAAAGTAGTTTGCGTACCGCGACGCGACCGCAACATCTCCGACACGCGTGAGGACAATTTTTTTAAAGGGATTGTGCCTCCGGGAATCCACCGAGACTTCCAGTTATGCTCCTTTCAAAATTGAGCCCAATTTGAATTTTTCAAGTTGGCCAGTAGTAATGCGACTACCAAATCTAGAAGATGATCTAGGCGTGACGTCTCGTCAAAGCTGCGACTCCGCTTCCCGAAAGTCCGTGACCTCATCGACGCCGGGCTGATGACGGAGCAGGAGTATGTACTGCTCGAAGACGTCCATGTGGGTTTTCTAGCATTTATTTGCGGTAAAAATGGCTTCAAATGCCTGCCGTACAATTACATACGCTAGAAACTACAACCTACATTTTTAGGCCTCGTGCGCGTCGGTGCGCTGGATGGCACCGCTGCAATGGGTGCAGCAGATCATGATGGACGAGGTCAAGGTGGGATTCGGGAGCACGAGCTTGAACTTGGCCTCATTTTCTGAATGTGTTGAATGAGAGAATTTATGTAAAATAGAAAGGAGAAAAATTACTATTTTCAGGACAACAACCCGACCGCCTCGATCGTCAACAACTTTATCACCGAGCTGAAGCTGTACCGGCAGTCGTTCCGCAAGATTTTCTGCCACGACTGGGTGTGCGTGCCGCTCGTTTATACGCAGGTATGCAACGAGATTTCGACAGGCTAAGAAATCTCGTCGCCGCGCGCGGGCCTCCACGCGTCGTCAGAGCGCACGGAACGCGCACGGAACGCTCACGCAACGCAGTCCTTGCGAAGTGCATTGAATCTTATCTAAAGGCGCCTGAACACATGCTCAATTGTCGAATTTAGCGCCTAGACACCGCACGGTCTAGGTGTACATAGGCGCATGGCGTAGTCAATTCTGGTCCGCTACGTGGTGAACCTTTGGACACGCTCGCTTCATGCGCGCGTTGCGTACCTCCATTTCCCGATTTTTTTTCCAGGTGGCCGCCCTGGCGACGTACGCCTTCTTCTTCTTCTGCCTGTTCGGACGCCAGTATTTCCACCAGGACGATACGGTGAGTATCTTCGACTTCTAAGCTGGCCTAAGCCTAAGCGGCTGGTGCTCAGCGTTAAGCGCGACTTTGGCTTGCTTTTTTTTTGTGGGCTCGAAAATAGCTCATGCTCATTCCAGGTCGACCTCAAGGTGCCCATCTTCCTGATCGTACAATTCCTGTTCTTCGTCGGCTGGTTCAAGGTGGGCCAAGATCTGATGCGGCCGTTCGGGATGGACGACGACGACATCGAGCTGAACTGGATCCTCGACCGGAACATTGCCTGCTCGTTCGCCATCGTCCACAAGTTGATCAACACCCGGCATCGTAGGTTTTTAAGCGTTTTAAGCTTCATGGTTCGAGCTGCGAGAACTTCAAGGAGTATCATCGAACGTAAAAAAAAGAAGAAATATTTTTACCAAAAACTAAGGAGAAATCGCGTAGTAATTAATATTTGGTTCACTACATTTACTAGCGTAATCGTGGATTAATTCGGCTTTTCCATGACTTTCCTACTTTCAGCCGAGCTCGGCGAGGGCAACGAGGACATCTTCTGGAAGAACCGCGGGGAGCACCTCGAGATCCCGAAAACTGGCCGACAAGACAAGCTCGAGACCCATCGGCCCAAGCTGCACGCCTACGTTCGGTAAGCGGATGGCCTAAACAGACCTCGAAACTGTCCCACTAACTTTCCCACACCCGCTAATCAACGTATTTAAAGGTTGCCGACGCTAACGCGGCTCAGGTAGGCCCGTTTCCGGTTTCCGGTTTTGTTATCGTGGCTTTACTCAGGATTTCTCTGACATTCTTGGCGATTAACGGGTGCTGTTCCATCTCGCGGTTCCATTTCCATATAAAATTCCGCTAAAATCCGCGCTCGTTTGCCCCCAAAAAAATTTATTTTCTCAAAGATTTTCTGCTGGTTTGCCTGCCAATTTCACAAATTTCACAAAAGCTGTCGGAATGTCATTTTTAAATGGTACTGGGCGGTTAACAGGGGGATTTTAGCAGGAGGAATCCTAAAGAGCGGCTAAACCCCCCCCCCCCCGATAACAGCCCAGTCCCCTTTTAATCATTGCATCAACGAATCCAGCCAGTCTGTCAATATATACAACTGTTTAGGCGTAATTTCATTGACGAAAACAATAAAAAAACTATCCAAAATAAGCAACTTTCTAAAAAACAATAAAATTTAGGTTTTTTCTGCGGAAAAAGGGATTGAATACGATACCCTAGTCCTCGAAATGGAACAGTACCAAATTAACGAACGGGCGATACTTGTAGTGTGGAGTGTCCGTCCGGAAAATCATTACCCCCAAAAACGTCCATAGAACTCACCGGATTTTGTGATGGTTTGGGCGTGTTGTGGCCGGGAATCTTGATCAAGCGCGTTTTATGGTTCGCTTTAGAATGCCCAACTCGGACGTGCCGGACGATGAGAAGGGGATCACGTGCTCGAAGCTGCGCGGCGATCACCCGTACGTTTTTGGTGGTGTAAGCGAAACTAAAAATGTTTTTTGGGCTTCAAAACTCTAATTCAATTAGGGATAAATTAATCTAGACAGTTTCTCTGCGAATCATTTATTCACGTCATTTGCAGGCATCTCTCCTGGTGATGATCCTCCTCCAAAAACTGCCCCTCCACAAAATACCGGTGCTCTCCCCAAAGAATGTGATGCTGCATGGATGTCCCAAGAATTATCGAATTTTCATAATATTATGGAATGATTTTATATTTTTATGTTTTTTAAACAATTCTTCTCGAAGAATAAATATATTTTTGTCAATGCTCTTTTGTAAAATTGTGCTCAAGAGTTCCTATCGTAGCAGATCAGGGAAAGAACTTTCGGAATGAGCGATAGGTTAGGTGTGACATTACCGGTAGATGACTGCCGACGTAGCCGATCTCCAAAAAGTGTGGCTTGCGATATAAAAACTAAGTTTTTAACGATAAATCGCCACCGAAATATTTTGCATGAGTCTGGAAATGCCTAGTAACTTAATAGTAAATTTTTGCTCAGTGTTTTTTAGTAAAATATGCCTCGATTTCAACTAGAAAAAATATCTAAAAAATGTTTGAAGCCGAACTTTGCCCAAAATCGGCCCCTGTTAAGCAAAAAAATAATTTAAAAAGGTTCAGTAAAGATGCTTAGCGTTTGTATTTGTGGAAACAGTGCGAAAAAGCTTAAAAATACTTCCGTTCTTTCAATCAGAAAAATTGGATCTTAGGAAAACATGAGTCCGCCCCCCCGATAATGCAATAGAACCAGATTTCGAGAAGAGCTCAGTTTACGATGACCTTATTTTATACTCCAGTTTGATGCTTCGTGTTTCGCGCCACGATCTGGGCCCTTCTAAAAATACCCAGATGGCTCGAAATCGATCGTGTTGCGTCGCTGACCTATTTTTAAGGTTAATGCTGCCTAGGGCATTACCAGACCCGCTACATTGAAATCAGTGATGGCAGATGGCAAGGGCACAGTGCAGTCAGGTCACATTCTGGAATCATCTTCATAATCGCACGGGTTCCTGATCTTTCTCAGTTTTACGAGCCCCCCCCCGACCGGCCCATTTGTATCCACGACTCCCCATGCCCTACGAGGCTGTAAAGTATACCAAAACGCTCGCCAATCCAAGACGAACATTTTCGGATACGTTAGAACCTTGTAGCGCCAGGGGAGCCGAGAAACAAGAGTTGGGGCCGCAGGCTGGGGGTGGGGGTTATCTGCAGTTTACCCAACAACTACCCTAAAATCCCGAATATAGCCCCCCCCGAGTCTAGTTCCGGGTGATGCGTACGTAGCTTCCGAAATTCCGTGTGACTGTAAATAGGCGTGCTTCGTTTTCGGTTTCCAGCAAATAACTCGATTCACGAATCGTATTTTTGCAATTTCGAATGAATATTTTTCACATTTCGACTGTTTGCAGTATTTTGAGTGGACTAGCGAAAGAAATTTATACAGGAATTCCTGATAACCGCTCCTTTTGTCATACCTAGCTTTCGCGGCGCGCGGTTGGGGGCACACGTTATTAGAGCGTCATTTGTATTGGTACGTGGTCAACTTGTTCCGGAACTATACTCGGGATTTTAGGGTATTTACGAGGATTTACAAGGACTAATTTCAGAAAACCATGGTCGCAGTCGGGAAGGAAGAGGAAAAGCTGGAAGCTGGTGATCTGAAACCAAAAACCGATATGGCAAGTCTGGAGGAGGGAGAGGTGGAAATGCGGTACGTTTTGAAAGATAGTAGAAGTGTAAGGCTGTACAATCGGCGGTACCGCGACACTTGCGCCGCGGACACTTGCGCCGGCGACACTTGCGCCGCGACACATGCGCCGCGAAATTTGCGCCCGACACTTGCGCCGCGACACTTGTGCCTGACATTTGCGCCGCGATACCGAGTTTCAGCTACTTGAAGATGCAATTTTTCGCGCGGAGTATTCTGGTTAAAGAAACGATAGAAAGATGTTTTTGCGCTAGGAGTCACTCGATTTGGAGGAAAGGTAATTGCTACTTCTTCCGCTCTGCGACTAAAAAAAGGCTTCGTGCCACCCGGGGCCTAGTCGCTTCGGATGGGCGCGAGCTCGTACAGGGTTTCGAAATCGGGGCGCCCGAGGCGCGCGTAGCGGCCAGGCGCCCCGATTTCGCGGCGCAAGTGTCGCGGCGCAAGTGTCGCGGCGCAAGTGTCCGCGGCGCAAGTGTCCGCGGCGCAAGTGTCCGCGGCGCAAGTGTCCGCGGCGCAAGTGTCCGCGGCGCAAGTGTCCGCGGCGCAAGTGTCCGCGGCGCAAGTGTCCGCGGCGCAAGTGTCCGCGGCGCAAGTGTCCGCGGCGCAAGTGTCCGCGGCGCAAGTGTCGGGGAGCCACAATCGGCATAATAAATCTCCGTTTTTCGCTTTGCTATTTTTCGCTAATGACGTTTACATTTTTTGCCAAACACGAAAATTTTCATCCTGTTTGGTCATTTTTCATACATTGTGACCAAAGACAATAATTTCTGAAAATTATTATAAGTTTTTATGAACATTGAAAGATATAAAAACTGGGTAAGAGTTTGCTTTACCCCCTCCCCACAGCCGAAGGGTCTCAAAGTTTTCGGTATTTTCGCTATTTTCTCGGGATTTTTGCAACGCCATTCGATAGAGCGTCGAAAAATATACTAAGAGTTTTAATTTGAGCCTACAATAATGTAAAATAAAAAAGTTATAGCCAAAAACTTTCGGCTGGTTTCGGGGTAAAGTAAACCGTAGCCTAAAAACTTTATAAAAGACTATAGAAATGGTTGATATTTCGAAATAGGGCCGTACGGAAACAGGGGGTAAGCTGGTACCAGAACCCCCCCGTTAAAGTATGCCGTCGGCATCCCTGGACGGGAAGCAAACGGGAAGAACTGCACCCCTAATGAGTTCTATTTTAGGGAATCCACCCTGGCAACATACTCCAAAAAGCTGTGGGATATTGTGCAAGGAGGATGGAATTGGGCACACATGGCCCTGAAAAAGCGCGAAAAATGGATCATTTTCGGCAGCACGGTCTGTTTTTACATACTACACTCATCCGTTTTGCGGAGCTTTCGGCGTTTTTATAATCTTGTTTTTGCAGTTGTATACTGAAGGGTGGTTCGGAAACTACGCAGCGCAGGAGCTGCTCTTTGACCGAATCTCGCCCTCCCCATCGAATCGTCTTGTGTACATCGTTGGTTTTATATTTTCGAGGTCACTTGCTTAAAAGTTGCCACAATACGAACTGGCAAATGGAATTTTCAGCGTGCACGCGACTGGAAACCATTCATCGCGAATCCGATCCCTTGCTCAGCCTTGTATGTCCACTTTGAAACGCATGATGAGCAAGTTCGGGTGGTCGCCCAACTCCGAGCCGCTTATGCAGACCCGAACCAGATTGTGTACAGTATCAGCGAGGAGGTAGGTCCCACTCGTTTAATTTATTAAAATCGACGGTTTGAGTCGCCTCATTTTGGTTGAAAAATTGGTTCTTTCGCGTTATCGGGGGGAGGTGGGGAACCGAGCCTTTTGTACATTTTAACTTCAAAACCTATCAAAAAAATTATAAAATGTGAAAAATCGGAGTCTTGGTCGAAAAATCGATGTGAAAAAATTTGGTTGCAGCTCCCCGATAACCCCCCCGCACCCCCGATAATGCGAAAGAACCAAAAAATTCATTATTAGGACGATAAATTGAAAAGTGAACACGCGCTACGATTGGTCGAAGAACAACTTGATGACGCGGACACGCAAAACTTTGAAGCGCTCGACGGTTGCCGCGGGGCAAATAAGGCTGTATTGGATTGGTGTCTGTATGAAAAGCGGTCGTGGGTGAAATGGATGGCCGGTGCACAGCTTATAGTGCCTCGTGGCGGAAATTGTGCGACTGCTGCAAAGTGGAAGGTGTGAACGTAGTTTTTCTTAAGAATTTATATCCATTATGCAGAAAGACTGTCTTGTCGCTGGATTGAAAATGAAGACAGTGACGATTCGTACGCAATACGGTAGCCTAAAAGTGGAGGCGTACGAGAATAAGAATGGACATCTCATCGAAATACAGCACAAAAGACTTTCGGGCCAACCAATTGACAGATGGTGAGCTCTCTCTCTCTAGCTCTCTCTCTCTCTCTCTCCCTTTCTCTCTCTTTCTAACTCTCTAACCCCAACCCAGTACTTTCTTAGTTATACGGTAATGCCGTTGGTGGCCGTTCCCGGGATCGCCGATGTTTATGAACGATTGGTCGATACAGAAGTGTATCAACGACAGGCGGAAGGTACGTGAAAAATTCGGTCACGGTCTTGTTCAATACCACAATGTTGGCCAGCCAGCCGCCTCAAACCCACGAAATGGCGAATCATTATCGACTTTTCACGCACTTCCTTTTAGCAAAATTTTAACAATAACCGATTCCAGATTGGGGCGAATTGTCAGTGATGACATCGTGTGCTTGGCGGTTATACGAAAAGGGTGCGGGAGTATGTTGCCCTCCATCGACAATCACCATCTGATTATCTTTTTTCCAACACATTTGTACGCCTTCAATTTGACCGGCTTTTCTCTTTCATCGTATAAACTGATTTCTAATGATTTCGTAGGGATTCGGCGCTTTAGTACGGTCCAGAAGGGGACGATTTCCGATTTCGACCAAAAGTACAGGAGTGTCCTCAAAAAAATTACAATTTACAAGGCAAAATATCTAGAAATATCCAAAAAACGACTCCCTGACGGTCGATCCGGACGGCTGGATGGTTGGAGGTTCATCTTGATCGATCCAGCTCAAACCTTTCAATGATCTTTGGCGCCACAATCGAGGTACCCCTGGGCCTTCGGGTCACCTCTTGCTGCCCTATAACGTTGCCCAGGGCATCATCAGATCGATGCCTTGATTCAAATGTCGGCATCGGGCCCGTTGCGTTGGCTCATCTTGTTTGGTTATTTATTAGGATCATCTTTCTCAGATTTAAAGTTATTGAAAAGGAAATTAAAACTTCCTGCTAAATTAATACAATCCCTCTGACAAGGAGTCGTTTTTAGATGATATTGGAGTTTTTCGACAACTAGCTAGTTCGGTTCTGGATTGTTAGCAGGGGGGGTTATCGGAGGGTGAAACCAAATTTTTCGCTACCAATACAATTTACCAATTAAAATTTTTCGCAAGATTTTGACGTTTTGGTCAAAAATGTATGAAAAATGACCAGAAAAAGCGCAACGATTGTCCACGGTTAGAAGATTTAGAGAACGACATCTTACTCAGAAAATTTTTCTTTATCAAACTAGGAAGGTCTCGTGCAAAACTCCAATATCCCGTAAAAACGACCAATTAGATTAGAATAGCCAACGACCAATTAGATACCAATTGTGCAGGGCGAATTTTACAAGATCATGGCGCCAATCGGGAAGCAAGAGATCGAAGGTCATTCGAAACCAAAAACCGACATGGTTCCTTTGGAAGAGGGAAATGTGGAAAAGCGGTACGTTTTGAAAGGGATCTATGCGAAAAAAATTTAAAGTAGTGAAAAGTATCGGAACTTTCTGGTGTCAACGCACTGGCATCACGCGCATTTGAAGCAGCCGCCGTGTCGGAACAAACACCTGATTCGTAATTCAACTCGCGGTTTTTAGTGCTTCATCGCCGGAAAAGTCATCATATTCAAAAAAATTGTGGAATATTGTGGAGTCGGGATGGAGGTCGTCGACAATTTCTCATCTCATCGACACAACCCGATGGGTATGGCCGGGCTGCGCAAAGCGCGAGAAATGGATCATTTTTGGCAGTACGGTCAGTTTTTGCATTGGCAATACAACACCATCCGACCTCTTCGTAATATATTTTTCAGTTATACATCGAAGGCAGTTTGGGCGAATACACAGCACAGAAGCTGCTCTTCGACCACATCTCATCCGACGTGCCGGATCGTCTTGTCTACGTCGTCAGTTTTGTGTTTTTCATGTCCTGGTTTGATTTTGGTTAAGCACATTATCCAGTGATTGGAACCTACAACGTTTTAGGAAGTTACACAGAAGGCTTTGTTAGGAAGTCCACCTTTTATCAGAAAAAATTCACTATCAGATAGGCTATTTGTGATGAATTAGACCAGTGAAACAAAAAAACGGCATCATGGCCAATCACTTCCCGGGGCCCAGAAACCGCAATTTAAATTTTTATAATCTTGTTTTTGCAGTTGTATACTGAAGGGTGGTTCGGAAACTACGCAGCGCAGGAGCTGCTCTTTGACCGAATCTCGCCCTCCCCATCGAATCGTCTTGTGTACATCGTTGGTTTTATATTTTCGAGGTCACTTGCTTAAAAGTTGCCACAATACGAACTGGCAAATGGAATTTTCAGCGTGCACGCGACTGGAAACCATTCATCGCGAATCCGATCCCTTGCTCAGCCTTGTATGTCCACTTTGAAACGCATGATGAGCAAGTTCGGGTGGTCGCCCAACTCCGAGCCGCTTATGCAGACCCGAACCAGATTGTGTACAGTATCAGCGAGGAGGTAGGTCCCACTCGTTTCATTTACAAAAATCGACACCTGGTTGGTTGAAAAATCGGTTCTTTCGCATTATCGGGGGGGGAATCGAACTATTTTGGACAAGTCTAGAAATGCCTAATAAGTTATAGAAAGGGTTTTTGAGTGTTTTTAGTAATATACCAGGGTTAAAAAGGCGCTTCGCAACTTTCAACCCTGGCCCCGTCTAATCCCATGATATATTTCATTGCATAATTCTGGGATATCCGATGACAAAAAAAAAATGAATATTGCACTATCGACCCATTATATAGGCTGCCGCCACTTCCGGCGCATCCTAATTCTTTCCTAACAAAGGGCCCCGATTTTTTAACAAAAATCTAAATTTATTGTCGAAAATAGGCAATTTTGATAAATCTTAGCTGCAGTCTCCCCGCGCCATTACGCACCTAATGACGTAGCATACATACCCTAAAATTCATCCCATTTCGAGAAATACGCCGGACACCCTGACGGAAGTTGCATGCAAACTGGCACAGACACACAGACACTATTTTTTATACCGAGTAGAATTATTTTATTTTAACTAGAAAAGCTTTCAAAAACAATTTTAAAAACTTTTTAAAAAATCGATGTTTATTTGTATTTTTTTGGAAAAGCTTTGTAAAGTTTTGATGTTTAGTGATTGTAAAGAACCGTTTAGAAACACGTCCACTATTTAAATTTGAAAAATAAGATCCTAATAAGAAGAAAAAGTTGATTCCCCCTCCCCGATAAACCGTCCGGCCGCCGATAATGGGAAAGAACCAAAAAATGCATCATTAGGACGATAAATTGAAAAGTGAACACGCGCTACAACTGGTCGAAGAAACACTGAAGGAAGCGGACACGCATGACCTTGAAGAACTTGATGATTGCCGCGGAGAAACTAAGGCCGTATTGGATTGGAGTCTGTATGAAAAGCGGTCGTGGCTCAGATGGATGGCCGGTGCACGGCTTCGGGTGCCTAGTGGCGGAAATTGTGCGACTGCTGCAAAGTGGAAGGTGTGAACGCAGTTTATTTCTTTGGAAAGACTTTTTGCAGAAGGACTGTCTTGTCGCTGGATTTAACACGAAGACAGTGACCGTTCGTACGAAATACGGTAGCCTAAAAGTGGAGGCGTACGAAAATAAGAATGGACATCTCATCGAAATACAGCACAAAAGACTTTCGTACGAACCAATTCGCAGATGGTGAGTTCACTCTCTCTCTCAGCCTTCCTCTCTCTCTCGTTTTCTCTCACAGGCTCTTTCTCATTCTCTCTCACTTCCTCTCTCTCTCACTCTCTAATCCCAACTCACTAGCTTTCTAGTCATACGGTAATGGCGTTGCTGGCCGTTCCCGGGATCGCCGGTGTTTATGAACGATTCATCGATTCAAAAGTGTGTCGACGAGAAGAAAAAGGTCAGTTCAAAATTCGGCCACAGTCGTGGCGGCCACCACAACCTTGGACCAACCTCGAACCCACGAATTGTAGATTGATTATTTGCTTTCAAGTAGTTTTTTAGGAATCTTAAAAATAATGATCGATTACAGATTGGCGCGAATTGGCAGTGATGAAAACGTATGCTCGGTGGCTATACAAAAAGGGTGCGGGAGCATGCTGCCCTCGATCGAAAAACACTATCTGATTCTCGTTTCTTCCGGCTCGTTTGTATACTTTCAAATTAACCACCTTTTCTCTTTAACCGTATAAATCTTTTGAGTTATTGCCAGAGGTGCCCCTTCTCGAATTGGACGATCCGGGCCACCGGATTTCGGATGCCGCCCAAAAACAGAGCCAACAAACCTCTGCTATGCCACAATTCTTGCCACCCATCAAACTTAAACAATTTTCAGAGCCACAAACTTTATTCACAATCAAATAGTAAACGCGTCAAACAGTATCATGCTTTAAAGAAATGTTTCCATTTTATCCGAGTAGTTGTTGGGAGTTTCGATCGGTGAGAAGGTGAACGACGCGTCGCGGTCAGCGGCTACCGCAAGCGCTTCGGCGAGACGAATTGACCGGTGATGGCATCGTGCGGTCTGCCATTGCTGTCGTAACGAACGTCCGAGCCGCGGGATGAACTCGACTAAAAAGTATCCAGTAATTTTCTACCAAAGAACGACACCCACATTCCTCGAACCGCGTCCACGTGAGGATGAGCTGCGCCTGTGGGATGATGAACTACGCGCCGAGCTGCTGTCACTGGAGTGTTGGGTCGATTCCTCGGCTTCATCATTCTTCTCATCATGGGATCGACGGGTGGGGCGCTGGCGGACGCGTCGCGTCTTGCGGCGTTCGCGTGACCTCGATGGGCGCTCGTGGCTACTCGGCGTGTCGACGACCGGGATCAGGATGCTCGACGTCGAGTAGATGGACACGCACGTCCCTTTTCGAATGGCTCTCTGAAAGGGGCTGGGTTGGATGACGATTTGATCATGTCCACCCACCAGGTCTGGAATCTGTTTGACGCGTGCAGAGTCGTTGAAGCGGACGCGGCGCGAGGGGGAAATCGTGTCGACCTCTTTTGCCGAACGCTTCGATCGACGATGGTCATCGTCGGGCGCCGGCGGCTGCGAGGCAGCGCGCTTCCCGGGCATCGATCGGATTGGAGAGCCGTGTGGTAAATGAATTCGATCTGCCTTTTTAGACCACCAACGAATGCAAAGCTCTGCGGAATTCCGCCATTCAAATACAGCAAGACACATATGCATACTCGTTTTCGCACGACACGCCTGCCGCCACTAGCGCATACGCGTATGCAGCCGAACGCGCTATGGGTACCTAAAAATGTATCGTAGCTCAAAGCCGACGCTCCTGCGACGCCATGGAAAACTTTATTCAATTTAGTGCACAAAGTGAGAAATTGCAAATCACAAGAAAGATATCACAGAGATCGAGACATACAAAAGTGCACTGGGATTCACAGATGAATGTACAATAGTTATGTTCAAATTCCAAAATATTCTGAGTCGGGCATGTCGTAGGACGCGACGTACTGCGAGACGACTTGACGCTGATTCACCGTGTTGAACGCCATCGGACCACCAACGTAGTGAGAGCCGTAGGCCGATTGATGCTGGAAAAGTTTAAATAAATCGATAAAAGATCGATGCGTTAGGAACGAACAACGGGGGATTCAACGTAAAGATGCTCACCTTCAAGGCATCCTTGCTGGACTCGTGGATATTCTGATGGGGTGGGACCATCGGGACGACGGTGGCAACCCTCGAGCCCGCCACTTGGTTCTTGAATCCGTACAACTTCTCTGCATCGTAGCTGAAGCCGATTCCATACGAGCAGAGCGAGGAGAAATGTTGGGCATTGCGCAGCCGGTAGTCGTAAAGGCCAAATGCCTATAATTCCGTTAAATACGCCTGGTTTAAAATATACCTGCTGGTCCATGAAACGGCGCGCATGTTCGACAATTTCCAGGCCCTCCCGCACGAGGATTGGGTGCGTCACGCGGAAAGTTTGACGGTGTTCTGCAAAATATGTATTGAAACCAGCTTTCGAAATACCTGAGGGAAAAGCATTGATGAAGCCTTTGGCCGAATCGCAGCGCACCGAGCCCGAGACCGTGCGGCCATTTAGGAGATCGTCCGCATTGTAGCCTAAATGAAACACGTAAGAAGCGGGACCGGGACATACCGTGGTTGGGCACGAAGTGGCAGTACCACCCGCCGCCGAGGTGAATGCCCGAGTGATGCCACATCTCGCCCGACGGCAGGTAGCAGACGATGAAAATTTCGTCGCCGGGCAATAGGCTTCCATCACTGAGGTCAACCTTCGAGAAGGAGAGCAACTAAAAAAATATTACAACGAGAGGAAGCACGTTACCTCTGATCCGGTGGGAATGAGGCACGAGGGAGGCGGCTGGCTGAAATTGGGGATGGGACGGCTGGCAAAGTGCTTCTCAGTGATCTGCATCATCGATCCCAATGCCCCAAGGTCCATTGGCCGTTGTGACAACTAAATTCGACAGTGAAAAATGTAGAACAAAAAGTACCTTTAGGTGCCGTGAGATGACTTCGATGTTACGCGCGTTGGCCGTCACCATCCACAACTAAAAGACAGGTCATAAATATTAAAATTGAAATGATACCTCATAAAGGCCGTCAACCGGTTTGCCGTAGAGCACATACTTCTGGCCGAACGACGTGTCGAAATGTTTGATGATGCCCGGAGCGGCGAACGTCTGCGCAGCGTTTTCGAGCCCGGCGCGGATTGCGTCTGCCATCTTCGTTGCCCTGGAAAAATAGCGTCGAAAAAGTCATAAAGTAAGATGAATAAACAGGAGAAATATCAAAAAGCTCTCAGTAGGAAAAAAGGCAAAAGCCACGTAAAAAACCCTCTTCTCCGAAATTCCACGTGGCTACGCGCCCCGTGCGTCTGCTGTTTAGCAACCAACCTACGGTATCGCCCTCTGGCGTATTGCAACGTACCTAAATCTTCGAAATTTCAAAGTGAAACCCCGAAAAAGCTTGGATTGTGCTTCTTTATGCACCTAAATCTTCTATTTTTTTGTGTTATTTTGATGCCTCCCAGCTGAAACTACAGACAACAATCAGCAGACCCCATTTCCGGGGTCAAACTTCGCAATTCGCTATGTACAGGCAACAAGATGCAAGGCTTATCGCGGTACTTGCGATTTTGCGTACCTAGATAAGACCGGACAGGCCATTCGCGCCATTCAGCCTGTCCTTTCGTCCCGGAAAACAATGACAAAGGGCTCGACGTCGGATTCGGGCTTGGATAGCTTGAAAAATGTCGAATTCTCGGATGGCAAATCGGAGAAAAAGGAGGGCTCTCTACCGACCATCACCCTGCGCCAGCTGGTTGGTTAGAATCCAAAAAGCTTTAGATTTTTAGAGCGAACTATTAAAAAACTAGTATTATAGTACCGGGACTGCAGCCCGCTCGATTATTGTCTGCTGGCCCTTGGGCTCTGCGTTTCGATGTGCACCGGGGCCGGTCTCCCGCTGATGGCCATTTTACAAGGAAACATCGGGCAGTCGTTCATCAACGAACAGATCTTCATCGATAATCAGAGTACGGTAAATCGACAACCTTTAGAAATTGTAATTTTTAGGCGTTCCCTTCAACGATAACTTTACGGAGGACACTTTTCGGAAGGCAATAATGCGGATTGTCTACGAGTACGCTGGACTTACTGTTGGAATTTTTTGTGCCGCCTATTTACAGGTTATTTTTGATAGCTTTCCGTCATAGCCAATTCATAGATTAGCTGCCTGTTGTCGGTGTGTGAGCGGATGAACAACCGGATGCGAAGAGCCTTCTTCCGCGCCATCCTCCGCCAAGAGATCGCCTTCTTCGACAACAGCCAGGGCGGCACGATGGCCACGCGGCTATTCGAGTAGGTGGCTCAGAGACATAAATTATGCCCTAGAATTACAGCAACTTGGAGCGCATACGGGAGGGCACCGGCGACAAAGTGGGCTTGATGATACAGTATATTTCGCAGTTTTTTACAGGTGAGTCTGGTAGTGGAGAAGAAGTTTTGTCATTTAGGCTTCATCATTGCGTTCACGCACAACTGGAAGCTGACGCTGATCATGCTCGCCTTCACACCACTGCAGGCCATTTGCGGCTTCTTTATATCAAAGGTCAATTTGATTTTTTTTTGCCTGGGGATGGAGGAAGGAGGATTAGTTTTTCGTTTTTCCGACTGGAAATTGTTTTTATGTTCTCAACCAGGAACAATGGTCCTGGAAACATAACAAGGCAAACAAAATTTGAGCAAATTTGGTATTACACGGAACCAACATATACTTAAATTTTTACGGGTAAAAACTAAAAATTTCAAATGTTCATATATCAGGCTTTATAGTCCATGACGACGCTGACGCAGCTTGAGTCGGTAAAGTACTCCAAAGCTGCGCAAGTAGCGGAGGAAGTCCTCTCCTCGATTCGCACCGTCATCGCGTTCAACGGGCTCGGCAAGGAAGCTGACAGGTTTGTGAGCCGGAAGCTGCAAGGATTTTTTGCTGACTTTTTTCAGGTATTCTGACGCTTTGGGCGAGGCCCGTAAAATGGGTATCCTGAAGTCGGTGTCGATTGGAGGGTCGTTCGGGGCAATGTGCCTTGTGAACTTCATGAGTCTGGCGCTCGCGTTCTACATCGGTGTCGGATGGGTGCACGGCGGGGAGATCAACCCCGGGCAGTTGTTGACGGTCAGTAAAAATAGTGATATAAGGTGTATTGGAACCTTCATAATATCTCTTCGGGAATTGGAGCTTCAGGTGTTCTTCGCGGTGATGATGGGCTCGATGGCGCTCGGGCAGGCCGGCCCCCAATTCGCCGTCCTCGGCGCGGCAAAGGGGGCGGCCGCCAGCATCTACGAAGTCCTTGACAGGGTTTGAAGCCTTCGGAAGCTAAGGAATTTTTGATTCAGGTCCCATTGATCGATTCTCAAAACACAACGGGTCGTAGCGAGCCCCCAGTCAGCGGACAAATCGAATTTAGAAACGTCTCCTTCTCTTATCCGTCAAGGCCGGAAGTCCAGGTTGGTCTACGATCATTCATTCATGCCATTAGAAAGCTTCATATATGAGAATGTTTTAGGTTCTGAAGAACATCTCCTTCTCGGTGAGCCCCGGCCAGACGATAGCCCTGGTGGGCAGTTCGGGCTGTGGCAAAAGCTCCATCGTCAATATGTTGCTACGATATTATGATCCGGAGCGCGGCCAGGTTGGTTTTTCAAGCTGAATGTGTCCGCCAAAGCTAGTGCTCAAGCAAGCCTCTCAGATTTTAATAGATGGGGCTCCGATCGATGAGCTGAACATCGCTTTTCTGCGGCAACAAATTGCCGTCGTCTCCCAGGAGCCGGTGCTGTTCAACTGTTCAATCGAAGAGAATATACGGGTATTTTGCTAACTTCTCAGACTTGTAATGCAGGAATTTCCAGCTAGGCAACGAAGAGCTTGACCACCGGCAACTCGTTGAAGCCTGCAGGGCGGCGAATGCCGAGCATTTTATCAGGAAGTTGCCTCAAGTATGTTGTAGGTTTAATTGCCTTTTATTAACGGATGAAAACTAAACTATAGCGCGATTTTTAGGCCTACGCAACGGAGGTCGGCGACCGCGGGACCCAGCTTTCTGGTGGTAAAAATTCTTCGGCTTGCTCAGTTAAAAATCACAAATTTTAAGGGCAAAAACAGCGAATCGCCATTGCTCGGGCTCTTGTCAGAAATCCACGAATCCTGTTGTTAGACGAGGCGACAAGCGCATTGGATGCAGAAAGTGAGGGGCTGGTGCAGCTGGCTCTGGAAAAGGTGGGCTTTTCTCGTATCCAAAAATCATGGCATTTTTTTGTGTTGTAGGCATCGCAAGGCCGCACGACCATCATCATCGCCCATCGGTTGTCGACGATTCGGAACGCCGACAAGATCTTTGCGATCAAGGTAGGTAAACTTAAAATTCAACTGTTGTTTCCTTACCCCTACCAACGCTAATATTCTTTTTAGGATGGCCAGGTCCATGAGGAAGGGACGCACGACGAATTGCTGGCCCAGCACGGTCTATATTACGAGCTGGTCCACGCGCAAACTTTTGCCGATGTCATTGACAACGTGCAAAGTAAGAGACCGGATGCTCTAAATCTAGCTAAAAATTTAGGTCATGAGGAGGAAGCTGCACCAGGGAGAACAAACGTAATAGAAATTTTCTATGTTTGAATTGGAATCATTTAGTCAGTGCTCCGCCACCGAGCCAGCACCATCAAGTCGTTGGGTGGTCTCGTAGGGATAGAAAATGAAGAAGAAGTTGTGGTTGACAAGAAAAAGAAGGACGACCTGACGCGTCTGAAGAAAGGTTTGATCCTCAAGTTTTTTTTGGAAGGCAGTGGTATTCAGAACTCGAAGAGGCCGGCGCGAAACGCTCGAATTTGCTCGAGTTTTTACGATTCGCTTCGAAAGAACGGGTTTGATAACTTTTTCTCATCTCATGCTCATTTTTGGTTTAGATTTGGCTGTTAATCGGCTTAGTGAATGCTATTCTGGACGGCTTCACGTTTCCCGCCTATTCATTGCTGTTCACCCAAATTTTGGACGTGAGTCGGAGTCTACGCCTCTTTTAATAGTTACATAAGAATAATTAAATCAAGGACCAGGGTTGAAAAGTCGCTTCGCGACTTTTCAACCCTGGCCTCCGTCTTACCCCCTATACTCGTCACTTTGCATAAACACTTGAATTCTTGTGCAGAAAAATGAAAAGCGCGTCCTCTCCCCCAATATATAGGCTTCCTCCACTTCCGGTGCATGTAAATTGATTCCTAACAAAGAGGCCGAGCCAGATTTTCACAAAAACTTAATTTTAATGTCGAAAACAACTGATTTTTACAAATCTCATATGCGTGCAGTCGTGTCATGATCATTACGCACCTAATGACGTATCATACGTACCCTTAACTTCCTCCCCTGTTGAGATACGACTGGAACATACGGACGGAAGTTGCATGCAAATGCACACACACACACACACACAGACACTATTTTTTTATATATAGTAGGATTTTAGGTGTTCACCCTCCCTCCGGCGGACCTCCTCCACAAGGGCCACTTCTGGGCGCTAATGTTCATCGTGTTAGCGGTGGCCCAGGGTGTGACGGTGCTAGGAGCGGTAGCGTTAGGCTTTTAGACGGTATCAAGCAGATTTAGGTATTTTTCTTCGGCCTCGGCGCGGAATTGATGACCCAACGGTTGCGGGCGGCCATTTTTCGAAACGTTTTGTCACAGGAGGTCGGCATAATTGTGAGCAATGCACGCCGTTTAGGTTGCCTATTTCGATTCACCACTTCACGCTACCGGCAAAATTTGCACGCGTCTGGCCAGCGATGTTCCGAATCTGAAGAGTGTAAGTTAAACCTTGAAACTTAGTTTTTTTTCTTCGACATTTAGGCCCTGGACTTCCGGCTGTCCACCGTCCTATCAACCCTCGTATCGTGTGCGGGCGGGGTGGGCATCGCCTTCTACTTTGGCTGGCAGATGGCGCTGCTCTGCATCGGTCTTTACCCGATTCTAGGTAGTGTAATGGAACAAAGTACGTTTTACACCGATCTACAGGAATCGGCTCGGCGATGCGTACCCGAATTATGCAGGGCAAACATCGACAAACGGCGAAGGACCTGGAGAACAGTGGAAAGGTGATTAGAAAAGATTCCAAAAAATTTTCCCCGCCTTCAGGTAGCCATGGAGGCCATCGAAAACATTCGCACGGTACAAGCGCTGACACGCGAAGAGACATTTTACCAGTAGGAGTTACTGTTAGAAAATAATAAATTTTAGTCGTTGATGCTTTGGTTGTGGGCTGTGTCATTTTTCATACATTGCTCACCAAAAAGCCAAAATCTTTTCTAACGTTTTTAGAAGTATTTTAGGAGTTTTATATAAAAAATCGTATAAAATACTTTCGTTCTAGGGCTGTATGGGACTACCAAGAAAATTTTGGTTTACTCCGGCTAACAACCAATCCCCCAGCTAATCGTCCAGTACCGATGCTTTCAGAAAATTCTGCTCGTACCTGGAGGCCCCGTATCGGGATGCCATTCGTCAGGCATTGATCCAAGCGGCAGTCTATGGGTGGGCGAAAATCTTTCAGCTTTGACGCTTGATCGGAATTTTTTTAGTTTTGCGTCGTGCGCCATCTACCTGATGAATTGCCTCTGCTATCGATTTGGCCTGTACCTCATTCTACATCGCGTCGTCACCCCGATCCACGTACTCAGGTAGTTGATGAACAAAACAGACTACTAGCAAGAACTCAGAGTGATGTACGCCATTTCCATCTCGACAACTACTGTCGGGTTTGCTACTGTCTATTTTCCGGAGTATATGAAGGTAATAGCCCCCCAAAAACATAGAACATTTTAGGCGCGTTTCGCGGGCGGCATCATTTTCGGGATGCTCAAGGAGCGCTCGAAAATCAATAATTTAAGCCCCGAAGGGAAGCGGCCGGTAAAAATTTTGTCGACTGGCCGGAAATCATTCATGTCTAGGCATTGACTGGGAAAATCTCATTCAACAACGTGAAATTCGCGTACCCAGAACGGAATTCAGTGGATGTTTTAAAGGTTAGTTTCAGAAGAAAAGATGCAGATTCAGCACAAATTTGAAAAGGCAACCACTTTCTAGGGTCTCTCCTTACATGTGGCCCCGGGTGAGACACTGGCATTGGTCGGACCATCCGGTAGCGGAAAGAGTACTGTTGTTGCATTGCTAGAAAGGTTCTATGATGTGACTGGAGGTGCTATCGTAGGTCACTTTGAAAGCTGCTTAAAAACAAGCCTTTCAGACTCTCGACGATGTCGATATCCGGGAACTGAACCCGGACCATCTGCGCTCTCAAATGTCGCTAGTTTCTCAAGAGCCGATCCTTTTTGATTGCTCCATACGGTAGAACTATTTACTCTAACAAGCCACGACTTCGATTGCAGCAAAAACATTGCGTACGGCATGGCGACGACGGTCAGCGACGAGGACATCGTAGCTGCCGCGCAAAAAGCCAACATACACAAATTCATCATGGAACTGCCGCAGGGTTACGATACCCGGGTTGGCGACAAGGGCACGCAATTGTCAGGAGGTTTCTAGCGTTGAAAAACACTGATGAAAGGGCTTTCAGGCCAGAAACAGCGAATCGCCATCGCGCGAGCGCTAATTCGGCAGCCTAAGATTCTACTTCTCGACGAGGCGACCAGCGCCTTGGATACGGAAAGCGAAAAGGTTAAAATAGCAAGAAAACGGACTATCTATACCCCATTAACAAGTAATCAAAAACTAGCAAACTCTTACTAGATCGTTCAAGAAGCCCTCGACCGCGCCAGATCCGGGCGTACCTGTATAGTGATCGCCCATCGACTTTCCACAATCATCAACGCCGACCGGATAGCCGTCGTCCAGGCGGGAACCTTGGTAGAAATGGGTATGCTTTTGCGAAAACAACGTCGAATTTGTACACTTTATTACAGGCACCCATCAGGAACTGATCGCGCAACGCGGTGTCTATTATGATCTCACAAAACGCCAGAATCTCCACTGAATCAAAGAAATAAAGCTTTGTTTGTCAAAAGCTCGTTAATGGCACAAATGTACATAAGGGTCGCGCACAACAATTAGTGGCTAGAAATTCTATTTGTTGTCGATGCAGAGCGCGTGCTGGACGAACTGCGACTCGCATTCGGCACCTAAATTTTTTTGTTTAATATTTTTTTGGAAAGTTCACAAACCCCTTGGGTCGCTTTTCGAGTGGTTGAAACAGGCGATGGCCTCGCGCATAAGATACCCACAGCTGGAAGTTCCAGTATGTTTTAAATTTATTTTCTTACCGGTGCGCAAATGCCGACTCCAAGCACGGGCATTTCGTGTTGATGCGGCCGTCGGGCAAGTAGGAAGCTGTAATGGTTGGCGATTAGGAGAATTAGCCATTGGCCTCACGAAATTGTTCAATCGGCTCTTTCAAATAGGCGAGATGGGCTGGGATCGCGGCATCCTTGGGGGCTTTGAGGAAGATGAGCTCCGACGTCGAGGTAGTAGCCATACTCTGAGACGGTTTGGACAATAGAAAATTAAGGACGATTCGACTACTTAGTTCTTTCAATACCCGAAGTAGCACAGTGGTTTCATAAAGCAACAAGCCGCCCACTCCCTAGTCCGCTAACAGACGCAAACAAACAAAAAAATGTGTCCGTATCTTCTCCCAAAATAAATGCAGGCTGCGGATCCCCTTCCAATTCAAACGAATCTTTCATCCGGTATCTTTATCCCTTATCTTAGTATCCGAAGTTAATACACAAAAAACACGTTATTCTGCGACACGAACCAGTGAGATCAAGTGATAAATAGTACAAACTTGATGAGGTCGAAGAAAATAGAAGAAAAATGACAACATATCAAAATTGAAAAATGTATAATTGGGGAGGGGGAATTACGGGCATTTCTTGTCGACGATGGACCGGCCGCTCTCCTCGTACTCGGTCTTGCTGATCCACATTTGTTGGAAAGTTCCCTGGAAAACAGACGATCAAGCCAAAATCGGATTAGCATACCACGGAGGCCAAAATTGAGCCGCCGATCCACGGGCCGAAGCGACGCTCCATAGAAGTTGGAGGCGCCGACAAACGGATGCGAGCGCTCTGAAAAAAAATCTAAGTAAAAAAAATATCGCATAAAAACTACCGGCGGGCATTTTTGCGACAGGTCGTGGCTGAGTCGTTCGGTGAATCCAAGAATCAACGAGTTGCCACCAGTCACGAGAACATTTTGGTACATGCTCTAAAGAACACAGGGTTCAGCCAGTAATTTGCAACCTACCGGTCGCATATCGACATCGCACATCCCGCAGGAGCTCCACGCAAGGTGGCTGACGTTCATCAGCGAGGAGGTGTCAACATCACGCAAGTACTTCAGATCGAATAGACCCTCAGGGATCTTTATCCGCTCACCCAAGAATTCCTGAAACAAAAAGTAAAACATGATAAATAAAGCACGTACCTTGTGGAAACCATTCGGGAAAGCATATGGGGAGGAGGGCAGCTTTTCGGCGGATTCCGGGTCGATGGGCACATCGCAAAGTTGCAGTACTGATGCGGCCATATCTTGGAGAAGCTGTAAAAAAGGGTCCAAGCTGGATTGTAAAAAAATTACCAGTTTCCTCATGAACTTGTCATAACTCTCGGTAACGGCTGGCAGATTAGCCTTCTCGGTCCATTTTGCTGGCTCACCCTCGTTTACTTCTTCCTGAAAATTCATGAATAGAAGAAGCCTATTATGGTCATGCGCTGTTCTACCCTATTTTCTTGAATGGCGAAACATGCATCCTAGTAAAAAAAAAATCGAAATCTCACCTTAGCCTTAATACGATAAGTTGGCACCACGTCAATCTTTTGCTCCGTCAACACTTTTTCGATTTGTTCGCTGATCATATCGCCACCCAACGGGCATCGAACGATAGCTAAAAATTCAATATTCAGTCGTAATTATAAAATACCATGCTTAACCGCGTATCCGTCAAAAACCGGCACAGCGGAGGTCTGTGTAGCGCCACTGTCCACGATTAGGCCACTCGTGCGCCCATTTGCAAAGCTGCAACGAAAATTCTAACAAAAACATCTAAACATACGCGGCGAGAACGGCGTTGTTGACCAAGAAGTAGGCGGGCACGTTGTACTTTTCGAAGGCCAGCTCGGTTAGCTTTTCACGTTTCGCCTTGTCGTTCCACTGGAAATGGGAGAAATGTTCGAATGTCAAGAAAATGAGTACCGCGCTTTCGGAAAAGAGGGCAGGATGGTCCGAGGAGTCTGTTCGCAATGCGTCCTTGTAGGCGTAGTTCATCATTTCTTCGAAAAGGTCCCAGTCTTCGACTAAAAAAAAACGCAATTTTCAATGAAGATTGATGAACTTACTCATTCCGTCGCTCATGAAGTTCTTGATCTCACAATTCGCCCTGGGCACGATGTTCTAAAAGCCGGACAATGCATTGATTAAGCGTCCTCAACCTTGGTGGTCCCGATGTAGATCTTGCGCTCGCGCTTCGTGATGGACGTGTCGTCGGTCTCCATTGCAACTGCTTCATCGACGCCAATTGAAGAAGAAATGTCGCTCTAGAGAGGAATTCAGACTTTAGAATGTTTTTACCGTCGGAAACTCCTCCCCGGCGAATCCGCATCGGAACGAATGGGAGCCAGCGTCGAATACAATAGCCCCGACCTCGTCTCCCGCATACATTCCACCGCTCATTTTGCCTGAACGGGGATTTAATAAAACTATCGGCCCAGAAGAAATCTCCAAATATAAAATACAAACTTAGGTAGTAAACGGTCAGTCCGCCAGGTTAGCCACATAAATGTCGGATTTTCTTTATTCAATGAACTACATAACAAATGAAAGACAGCAAAAACAAAACAAAAAACAATCGTGGAATAACGAACTCTAAGCTACCATTCGACTAGTACACAGATCTAGAATAAAACTAATATCTCAAACGGGAATATCTTGGATATGGGCTCAACGGGCAATTCAACAATCAATCGTCTTCTAGTATCATTTTTATCGCTTTTTCTTCTTGGCGTCAGCCTTCGGGTCGACTAGGCCCTGGTCGATTTGCCACTGCCTGATGACATTGTCCTGGGTGGTGGCTGGACAGGGCGCGTATCTAAAACCATTTTTGAAAACTACGGAGTTAAACTACCGGCAATATTCCATGTTGAATTCCCCCTTGCCCTCGGTCACTGAACGCAGCAGCGAAGTGTAGCCAAACATATCGGACAACGGCGCCTCGCAAATGACCTAAAACCAGGAGCTTTTAAACCCTAAACAAAAAAAACCGTGGTGTAGCCATCGATCGTGTCCGTGGAGGTGATGAGCGCATTTCGTTGTGTCAACGTGTTGACGACAGATCCCTAAATTTATGTAATCGCTTCGTCCTCCTAGCAAAAAATTCACGCTTTCTCGACAAAATGTAGTAGTTACCTGGAAATCACTTGGCGTCGTCACCTCGACCTTCATGATCGGCTCGAGAAGCAGCCACGCCGCTTTTTCGTAGCACTAAACGGGCATTGTAACCAATTGCAAATCAAACCTCGCGCATCATGTTAGCCATCGTGTTGATCATGGCGATTTCAGTAGAATCAACCATATGCGTCTCACCGTCCTGTACTCGCACATTGATACCAGCAATCCTAAATAAAAGTGACAGAATATTTTGAAAACGCACTTTTGTTTCATCAGAGGCCCTTCCTGGGTGACTTGGTCGAGACCCTTCTTCAGCGCGGGGAACAGGTTCTTGGGGATACTCGTTCCAAAGCATTCGTCGGTGAACTTGATCACGGTATTCCTGAAAATTTACGATGCATAATTTTCCATAAGGGGTACTTTATTGTGGTAAGCCCAAATTCAAAAGCTTACTGATCTGGTGGCAGTGGCTCAACGATTCCTTCAATCTGTCCAAATTGACCCTGTCCTCCGGTTTGCTTCTTGTGACGGTGGTGGAACTTGTAGGGTGCCGCAATGCACTCGCGATAGGCGACCGTTGGCCTGCCGAGTTCGACTGGGCAGTTGAACTCGTTCTTCATCCGCTGGGCGTAGATTTCCAAATGTAGTTCGCCCATTCCGCTGACGACGGTCTCTTTGGCCTCGTTGTTGTACTCTCTAAAAATAGAATATCCTTCTAGCTTCATCCACAAACCTTTTGAACGTCGGATCTTCCTTTGTAAACCTTGTCAGCGCCTTGATAAAGTTGTCGCCATCCTTCTTGTTCAGCGGCTTGATCGACATGGAGATGACAGGCTCGGGAATGTGCATGGATTCCTGAAGAAATTTATAGAAACCCAAAGTCCACCTACGCAATGTGGTGGGTTGTCCTGGATGCTTGAAAAAGTTTCTCCGGAATGACAATCAAGCCCGAAGGTGGCACAAATGTCACCGGCGTACGCTGTTTCAATCTCCTCCATATCTGCGGCGTGCATTCGGACCAATTTTTGGACGCGGACCTGAGAATACATCAGAGAGGAAACTAAAAATTACCTTTCGACCATCCTTGCTAGCATATACGGTGTCACCCCGCGAGAGTTGCCCTTGGTACACCCGGAAATACGTCAACTGGCCATATTTTCCTGCCTAAATCGGGGTACAAACAATGAAAGCGAATTCCCACCTCAAGCTTGAACGCTAGCCCGACAAAAGGCTTGACATTATTCCTAGCATGGTCAAGTTTGATGACTTTTTCGGAGTCGCCATCCTTGATGCTCGCTCGGTTCTCGACTTCGGAGGGGTTGGGTAGGTATCTAAAAATCCATTGTCCACCAAACTATAGGGCTTACCGGACCACGGATTCAATCATCGTTTGTACACCCTTGTTTTTCAGCGCAGACCCGGCGAGGACGGGAACAAAAGCGCGCTTGACGACGGCTCTGGAAATCAGCACTTACCATACTTTTTTTTAGAAATACCTTCGAATAGCTGCGTGGATTTGGTCGACACTAGGATTGATATCATTCAAGAACATTTCGCCCAACTCTTCGTCGCCGTTAGCAATGTGCTCTAGAAAAGGGCAGCAATTTTTTAGTAATCGAAAGAACCCACCAATCATTTCTTGACGCAAATCTTTGGCCTGTGCTCGAAGTTCTTGCGGAATCTCGTCCTTTCGCACCAGAAGCCCGCCTTCACCCTCATAGTACAAGGCGTTTTCGGTAATGAGATCAACGATTCCGCGGAAATCCGAATCCTGAAAATCGGCGAATGCGAGGCGCACTGACACCTTACCTTTCCGATTGGTAAATGGATCAGCGACGCATTGTGACCAAGCTTTTTTCGCAGCCCATCGACCGCTCGGAATGCAGTCGCCCCCGTCCGATCCATTTTATTCACAAAGCAGATAAACGGAACATTATACCTATATGGAGAAGATTAATAGCTTTTAGGCGGGTTCCTACCTAGAAAGTTGCCGATTGACAGTAAATGTCTGGCTCTGCACTCCGCCAACACCGCAGAGCACGAGAACAGCGCCATCCAAAACGCGTAGAGCTCTTTCCACTTCTACCGTGAAGTCGACGTGACCTGAAAGCGACGATAGAAGAACAAGATTAGCACTATACCAGGTGTATCAATGATATTAATGTTCGTTCCATGCCAGTCGATATAGGTCGCCGCGGATTGGATAGTAATTCCACGCTGCTTCTCCAACTCCATGAAATCCATGGTAGCACCGACGTCGTCCTTGCCTTTGACCTGAAAAGAAGATGTTGTCAGGAATTTGTAGCCCACCTCGTGCATTGAATCGATTCGCCCGGCATAGTAGAGGATTCGCTCCGTTACCGTCGTCTTTCCCGAATCAATATGAGCAGAAATACCTTAAAAAATCGGGAATTGCCATGAGACGAACAGACCTACCAATATTTCTAATTTTCTCCACAGGTCTGACTCCAGGAATTACAACTGGGTTCGGCGCCGCGCTGGCTCCGCGTATTGCCAAATTTATTAACTGAAAATATAATCAAAGCAATTTATAAAATACCTTTTTATGTGGATTTTTTGACAGAGCGAGCAGGCGCGAAAAGGCAACCATTTTCGCCACCGTCGTGGGGGCCCAAGGAGCAAGCTAAACATATAAATTATTTATGAAGATTATTAATAGTAGATATTGAACGAATTATGGTTATAACTTTACTTTTAGAAGCTTGGGTCAAAGGGCTCACTTTTGGAAAAGGACGCTGGCAAACGGCGCGCCGGTTAACCGTACGCATAGTAGCGTAACGGAATGGATTATTGCATAACGTTACGCGATCTTTTTCGACGATAAAAAGCAAAAATTTCCCAGTTTTCCCCCAGAAATTTTTATTTACTACTTTATTTACTTATTATTTTCTAGATGAAGCTCAAGCCGGCCCACACGCTTTACGACACCCGATGGCTACACGGGATCGAGCAATTTCGAGGAAATCCGGACCCGGCCGTTCAAGCAGCTCCCGCTGCCAAGAATTTTGATCCATTCGCCCTTCTAGGTTAGTTTTTTTGGCTTCATATACAAAGATCGGGTCTAGAAGAAACCGTCACGTGCACGGCGTGTCGATGTGCCCTGGAGGAGACGGACCGGGACGAGGTTTTGCAACACTACAAGAGTGATTGGCATCGGAAGAATGTGCTTCGCGTATCGCACGGCAAGCCTCCACTTTCCGAGGAGCAATTTGACGATGAATTCGCAGAGGGTATGCGCTGTAACTTAAACTATTAATGTAATTTTAGAAGATGCTTCGTCCGAGTCTTCTGATAGTGATGAAGAAGAGGTATTTATGGATCGACTCCTCGGCTCAACTTACGAATATTTTGTTCAGGATGGAGAGGTTGGACCAGTCTACGGGAGAAAATAATTCTTTAGGTGTTTTCCGTCTATAAATGCATCGTGCCGCCCGGCGAAGAGTTGGACATCAGCCTCTTCCGGAAGACGATCGACTGCGCCATTTTTATGCTGGCTGGCGGGCACTTTGCGGGCGCGGTTTATAAAAGGTAAATAGATCCTATCTTTTCCGGATAAGAATTTAGAGGCCAAATGATTCACCACAAGACGATCCACCGGTACACCGTCAGGGCCAAGCAGGGCGGCTCGCAAAAAGCGCAGGACGCTCGAGGGGGTACTGCCCATTCGGCCGGTTCTGCTTTGAGGAGGTGGCATAGATTTGAGGAGGCGCTATAATGGCTTTTCCAGATATAACGAGCGCACTCTATGTCAAGAGATCCAGAGATTGATCAAGGAATGGTCTTCAACACTATCTGAGACTCCGCTCATCTTCATTCGCTGCAGCAGTTTCCACCGGGACGCTTTCTTCGGCGAAAATCTCTTCAGTTCGAAAGATCCGAGAATGAGGTAGTTTTATCCTGAATCTTCCTCAAATGCCCCTAGAACCCTCCCGTTTCAAACGATCCGCCCCGGCCTCGACGAGATCAAACGCGTCTACGCCTTGTTGGCGTCTATTTTTGCTCACGGGCCAGAGGAAGAATTTATTCTCAAGGTAGTCTTATTATTTTCAACGTTTTATTTTTGTTAAGCTCAAAAACAGCCGAGAGAAGACGCGGCAAGTGCTGACCAAAAAGCGAAAGGAGCAGGGAATCGTGGCGATCGCGGACAGTGACGAAGAAGAGAAGGCCGCTGAAGAAGCTGCAAAATTGAGGCAAGAAAAGGCCGAGCGCAAGGTGCAGATCTATACACTTACTTTATTTTTTAAATTCAGAAGATCGAGACCATCGCCGAAAAAGAAGAGCGAGAAGCGTTGGACCCGTTTGCGGATGTAAGATTTATGACTGAGAATTTATTTTTTTTGTTTAGATCGACAAGTTATGGCGTGCTTCTTTATACACTGGCGTTCGCAACGACGATGCAGAGCAACTACAGGTGAGATTTCCAGGGACTAAAAACCGAAACTTCTAGAAACTGATCGAGAGCCCGCCCTGCGACGCGGCACGGAGCCTTCAGTTCCTCTCGGAATTTCGCGCGCCGCCTGACGGAAGCTCCTTCTTACACTTGGCTGCGAAAAACAGCTATCGTCAAGCGTTACAGGTATTTCCACCCCTAAAAACTTATATTTTTAGACATTCCTCGATGCCGGCGTCTTTCCATCGATGAAAAACGAGAAGGGGGAAGTGCCGTTTGATGTGAGTTATATTTTCGTTATATTACTATCATTTTCTCAGGTTTCTGCCGACAAGTCTGTGCGAAACCTGTTCATGGCGTTCCGCAACAAACAGGCCGAGGCCAACGAGAAGCTCGACTGGCGGTCAACACATATCCCGATGCCGACGGCAAAGGTAGGAGCTCCTTTGCTGATAGTAGCTATTTATTCTAACAGGCCGAAAAGGATGAGGCACAGCTGGAGATTGAGCGAGAGAAGAAGAGGGTGAAAAAGGAGCGACAACGGGTAAGCGATAACGGGCTTTCGGATAAAGGGGCAATAAACTGACGCTGTTGGGGTGAGGAATGCGGGTTTTGCAGTAGAGAAAACGAAATTTAAAGGGATGCCGACGGCATAGTCAATCGGTTACGCGCGGAAAAGAAAATGTCTCTGCGCCTCTCCCCTGGGCGCGCTCTCTCCCCTGTTGGCTACTTGCCAATTTGTTGATGAGAGGGGATCGACACATGCCGTCGACAGCCCTTTAACGGAATTTTAAAGAGCCGATTTTTTAGGAACGGCAAAAGGTGAAAAAGGCCGAGGAAAAGGTCGAAGCTGCCGAGAAGGCTGCTCAAGCCGAATGGCTGTCGCTGTCAGACCGAGAGAGACGAGCTCGAGCCGCTGAGGCCCGGATGGCCAAGCTGGAGCCGAAGCGGGGCCCGAGATGCTATCAGGTAGCAAACGTTCGGAATTTGAAGTAATATATCTTTAGTGCGGCGGTGTGATGCCTGCGAAGCCGTTCAACTACTCCAATTTCGAGTTCTGCGCGCCAGCGTGTGTGGCGCTGCACCGGAATTCACAACCGGCCGCCAAAAACATATAATCAGTACGGAATTTAGCTTTAATTTTTGATTGGTTGGCCTTCTTCTGGTGTCGCACCTGTGATAATGTCTTTTCTGAAGTGTCCTTGTTGTACTACGTTGTTTTGCTATACTTTTTGAGAAATGAGATAAATTTATATACATTTTTTTGAAACAAATTTCGCGTTTTTCCACATTGGGCCAAAAGTTTGAGCGCGCCTCTAAATTTAGATACAGCTGGTGCAAACATTTCGCTACTATTTACGCCGTCTACGTCAGCGTGGACAAGTCATTTACAGTCGATTTATGTGCCCGGGATATTTTATTGGGTGTCGCCGGATCGTTTTCGACACGCCCTTCCGAGGAGATAAGCTTTTACGACGGCCCCGGCGGGCTCATCGGCTTCAGCCTCGGCAGCCGAGCGTTTTTGCCAGCAGCCCCACAGTACGCACCCCGGCTTCCGGCTACGGGAGTGGAATGTTTCGGATGAAGCTGTTGTTCGCATTGTTGTGTCTTCTTGTTCCGGTTAGTTTAAACACAAATGAATAAATAAAAGATTTATTCTTTTAAAGAAATTTTTAAAGCGATACTTCTAATTTGCTTAATCATTACTACAGGCCACCCACGCTTCCTACAAATTGACCGTCTACCTTCGACGGCTCGACGTCGGCCAGGGTTTCCTTGCCAATGGTACCCACTGTACCCCCACCTGGAATATCGGGGATCAATGTAATATTATGCTCAAGGTAAGCTGCGGCTTGCCACGCACATCAAAAGACGCTAATCTACTTGACGAACTCGTCAAACCCTTTTGAAATTGAATTACTTTAGCGATTTTAGCTAGCCGTTTGCCTTGGAACTCCAGATGATCCCTCGGACCCGTGCCCGGAAACTAAGCGGCAGCCGATCGACCTCGGCCAAGTTACGAACAACCAAAATGCGATAGACTTTGCGGTAACTTCACGAAGACGTGGTAAATTTTACAAATTCAGGGCGGCGGCACGGCCTATGGCGCCTGGAAAAACCCGGCCGACTTTGTGAATTCCGAGGATGGAGTTTTGTACGCGGTATGGGACGATGTAATTTCTTTGATTTTATATAATTCCAGGGCTTTTCCCTGTACGTTGAGGCGCGCGACAAGCAGAATGGGCTGATCGACAGCTACTCGCATCGTTTTGACGACGGACTGTCGCCGAACAATTTCGAGTACTTCTCGCATGAGCGCGTCAACTTGGAGGCGACTTTGTAAGTTTTTGTTATTTTTTTGACTGGCTAAAAACGGTTGGGAATTGACCGCGACGGCAAAGAGCAGTTCTGCTTTCGGACAAAAAAAATAATTCGTTAGGTTCTCGATCGCCTGGCGAGCCAGCGGCGATCTTCCGACCCCGCCGCCTCCTACCACCACCGAGGGCCCGACCACGACCACACAATCTACTACTTCCGGCCCGTCCACACCGGAACCGACGACTGAAGGTAAAAGAGCGCCCCTTGTGGTCAAAAATCTTAGCACAATTCTACCGAAAATTCCGCTTTTAGCCCCGATCACGGCAACGGAATGTGGTGAGATCCCTCTTCCCCGCTCGGATGGCTCGTATTTCATCCTGATCGACAATGTTCCCAACAAAGTAAGTTTAGACTCCCCAGAAATTCAAAAACTTCTAGGTTTACTGCTCATTTGGAACGAACGTCGCCATCACCCACATTCAGGGGTTTGTCTTTTCTAAATTTTTGAAGCGCACCTGCTGCTTTACACTGTGTTTTTGCAAACTGCGTAAATTACTAACAAACTCTCAGTTTTCATTTCATTTTTATAACAAAATGATTCATGCCACTTCTTCCTTATCACCAGCTTTTAGACGAGGCGAGATCGGTTTTACTAACGACACCTTCGCGAGAAAATACGAAGACTACGCAAGCCCATTCGGCACCCTCGGCAAGGGTAACAACTATTGGCTGGGTCTGGACAATATCAATGCGATGACGAGGAGTGGAGAGTAAGTGGGGGAATTCATGACAAAGTGGCCGTATCTAGCTGGACGCTCTTCATCGAGGTTTGCTGCGGAAAAACGTCAGTTACCCAGCAGACCTACAAAAATGCAAAGGTAGCGTTTTCAAGTAGTTTTAACTATCTTCGGACTAATAATTTTTTGCCTTTTTTGGGTCTGAGATCTGAGGGTCTATTTTTGCTCAAGATTTCGGAAGTTTCATTAATTTGTCAGATCAGCGACAAAGCGTCGAATTACACTCTAGCCGCCAGCGCCACCATCAACACCGGACTTAACGTTGATGATTCGACAAACGCTTATGGGAAAGACTTGGGGTTTGGTGGTGAATACATTTTTGTTAATTCTTCTTACAGGCGCCCCTTCCGCACCTTCGATCAATGGGCACTGGATAAAAGTGAAGATGAAGAATATTGCTCGATCATTAATGACAAGGAACACGGGAAAGTTAGCAAGGGAACGGGGTAAGTGAACAGGCTCGGTCATGATTTTAGAATCGGGTGTCAACTATGATATTTTTCACATATTTCTCCTTAAAAACTTTCTATTTCTATCATTTTTAAGGGGCTGGTGGTTTGGAAATTGTGGCGAGAACTTGAACGGTGAATACTACACCGCGGAGGAAGTGGATGATAATTGCGTAATCAACACGGTGTAAGTAGACTGTGGCAAATTAACGACTTGAGCTTCATCTTCAGATTTATACTTTTCCGCGATACCAACGTTTTTATTTTCTGTTTACAGTGATCTGACAAAGAAAGGGACCGGCATCGAGTTGATCACGAAAGTGAACCCGGCGATAGTCGACCCGCTTTATGACAAGAAGAGCTACACTAGAGCCAGGATGGGCCTCTACAAGGGTTCCGGGCAGCCACTTGGCCTCAAAGACTATTGCGTAAGCCAATAAACGGAAACCGGGTTCAACCTTTTTTAGAGCTGAACCCCCGCGATGAGACGTCGCGTCTGATTTTGCCATTTTGCCATTTGCCAATAAATTGTATTAATTACTTAAAGATTTCAGTTTTCCACCATTGGCTTGTCCGTGGCTTCTTGAAAATTAATTGTCTTTTTTTCATGGATTTAGAGAACTCGTCTATGTGATGCGAGGCGGGCTGAGGATAGCGGCTCTATTTTTAGCGGTGAGTAATACTTGAAGCTTCAGGGTACATGAGGAGATTCTAAGCATATTAAAAGAGCCCATCTAATAAATTTGAAAGGTCGTCATTTTAGATAGCCATCGTGCCCAGCCTCGGCTATCAGCTGACGATTCAGTTGAAGTCGCTGTCGCTGACCGGGAACCTGGCCGATGGGAAGCCGTGCTCTCAACTGTCGGCGTTTGGGATAAAATGCTATCCGCTGGTTGCGATTTGCGTTCAGACGGCGACGGAGTAAGTAAGAGTAGAATAATTGGCAAATAGAAAACTGAAAATTGAAAACTCCATTTATATAGCGTTTATAAAACGTTTATTTCGATTGTATTTCATTTTTACGGCTAATCGTATAACCTCTATTTATTAAAATTACCGTCTACTCGCGACTTTTAGTGAAACTAACGACCCTTCGACATGCCAGGGCGATGATTCGGCTTGGTTCGACCTTGGGGTTACGGTAGAGACTGTGATACGGTAGTGGAAGCCCAGCTTTTAGCCAGCTACAAATGATATCACTTGGGGCCCTGGATTTATCAAGGGGTGGTTCAACCCCCCAAACGCTGAAGATGCCCGGCAATTTTCCGGTGGGTTGCGCTTTTTACGTTTTGTATAGCTGATTAAAACGTCGAAAAATCGTTATAGAGCAGTCCTTACTTCGTGAAGCTACGCGTGCAGCATTATTACGGAACTACGGTCAAAATGATTGACAATACCTTGTGGAAAATAGACGAATTCAAACCGGATGAGGAGGGTGGGACCGTCGCTACTGTAGAACTGAAGGACATAGACAATGGCGGTCAAATTAAAAGGTTCCTTCCTATCTCTCTGACTCTCTCTCTCTCTCTCTCTCTCTCTCTCTCTCTCTCTCTCCCTCTCTCTGTCGCTCTCTTTAGAATTTGTATCTTCTAGCTTCATCTTCCAATGGACGTACGATGGAATTAGCGGACCGACCACGGCGCCTCCTTCGACAGCTTCGGCCCAGACGACGACAGGTAGTTTTCGGAGGCTGCAGAGATCATTTGGGAATTCTGGGGTCTAGAACAAGTATAGGTTAAACGAAATTCGTACGACAAGCAAAAAATTCAGGTGCACCGCAGCAGAGCTCCACACCAGCTGGCTCTACTCCAACTGCAGGGCCTACGCAGAGTACGGCAAGCCAGCCAAGCGGGTCAACTGGTCAGTTTTCTGTTGTTTTTATTCGAATTTAATAGCACACTATAGTTATCATCTATCTATGTCTTTCTATGTCTTTCTCTCGCTCGCTCGCCCGCTCTCTCGCTTTCTCAAATTCTCTCGCGATCTCTCTCGCGCTCTCTCGCTTTCTTTCTCACGCTCGCTCTCTCTCTCGCTGTCTCTCTCTCTCTCTTTCTCACTAACTCGCTCTCTCTCGCTCTCTCTCTCGCTCTCTCTCTCTCTCTCTCTCTCTCTCTCTCGTTTTTTCAATCTTTTTGGAAATCTTAGCTACGGCAAAATTTAGGAAGTCCCACCACAAAGCAAGCAAATGACGCGACGACATCGCCAGTATCAGCAGGACCAACGACTTCCGGAGGTGGTGATGGCGTTAGCAGCACTACGACAAGTGGGGCTCAATCTAGCCCCTCTACTTCTGATGCTAAGTCGACTGCAACAGCCTCGCCGGGGGTAAGGGTTTTGTCGACATTTCAGGAAGCTTGGGATGGCTTGTTTGCGGAGCTTGATAGTTGGGCTACAAGTACGGTCGAAGTTTTTTTTCTGCACCTCGGCCTGAAAAAAAAAACAATTTCTAGTAAAATTCAAATTTCAGAGTACGAAAGACCCTAATGGAGACGGCATCTTCTTCGAATGAACCGATTTTTGTAAAATGTGCAACTCCCGGAAGTATAAATCGATTTTTTGCGTTTAAGTTTGAGCGGAAAAGCGACGTGATTATATACAGAATTTAAAACACGACACAAAACGGAAAATATACGTTAATTTAGCCAACCTCGAAAAGTTGTTTTTCGACACACTTAAATGCCGAGATTCTGAACGCAAACAAAAAAATAAAGGGTCGAAAAAGATATACGTTATAAAACGTTAATCACCTTTTTCCATATGTTTTTCTCTCTATCACGGTCTAAAAGCGCATGCTAGCAAAGATCATTGGGGAATTTGTGATTGGGCAATTTCACCGAATTGTTATGACCCAAAAACACGGTTCAAACTCAATCTGTCCTTTTCGCTCGGGTCCAAAAATAAACAAGATAATCATCAGGGCGGGTACCCTAATTTTTCAACTCAGTCGATGATCCCCGTCTCCGCCAAACTGTTTACCACCAACGTTTCTATTTTGCAGGGTCTTAAGGACAATTCCAGGGCACAGGTTCGAGGCGTTTCGGAGGAATGGTGCTGTTTCGAAACTTGGGGCGAGAGAGAGCGAGAGGGAGAGCGGGGGAGAGAGTGAGAGAGATCTCGCACAAAACGACACTGAACAACAAAAACATGGGCGCGCGTCCCGTCTCGCGCACCTCTTGCTCACCCAAGGCCATCTGACAAATTCGCCCAAGACGTTTAGAGGCTCGGGTTATGGTATAAAATACGGTGATCCGGTGTGGAGAGGCATCAGCAAGTTGTTTGCATTTGAGCATCAACACCAATTGTTCCTATTTATAGTTACTATCCTTTTCTAAAATTAAAATACTTGTCATCTAGAATAGTTATTGATATTTAATTCCCACCTGGGGAATACTGTAGAGTAGCTAAGCTTAAGCCGAAGCCCAAGCTTGCTCAAAAGCCGAAGCCTAAGCCTATTCCTAAACATAAGTCTAAGCCCAAGCCTGCTCCTAAGCCTAAGCCGAAGCCAAGCCTAAGCCTAAGCCAAACCTAAGCCAAGCCTAAGCCTAAGCCAAGCCTAAGCCAAGCCGAAGCTTGCCCCGAACCCTAAGCCTAAACCAATTCTAAGCCTATCCTAAGCCTACGCCTAACCCTACCGATACCGAATCCTATAAATAATGCAATTTTCCATTGATGTAATTACTTTTATTCATTTTTAATTGCCTTTATTTATCATTCCTATAAATATCGTGCGTTTGGTAAACTATATAAATCTTTGCAGAACCGAAACTAACAAAAATGCTGACGAAAGTGCTCGTGCTCTGCCTCCTGCTCGCCATCGCCTTTGCCTTCACTGAGCACCAGGAGCAGGCCGGACTTGATCAGGAGCGCGACCAGCGATCCGCTGAATTCGCCGATGGAGAGAAGACGTGGGTTTTTAGCTTATTCTAGGCTACCGTACGAAAAATAGCCAAAAAATTCTATCTTCTACCACCTCAAAATTTACGAAATATTTTCAGGCTGATCCGTAATCGCCGTCAATGGGGATGGGGAGGTATGGGATACGGAATGGGGTAAGTATTGTATCCTTCTCACTATCTCTCTCTCACTTCTTGCTCTCTTTCTCTCTTTCTCACTTTCTTTCTCACTCTCTCGCCCTCATCAAAACCCAAATAAATTAATTTTCAGCATGTACCGCCCGTACGGCATGATGGGCATGTACCGCCCGTGGGGAATGTGGGGCCGTTAAATGACGTCGCCGATGTATCCCAACAATGCAATATAACTACTGTATATAATAAGACTGTAGATCAGTGGCAATAAAGAGATTCATTACCTTGTATTGAATACAAAACACAACGTATCTTTTCATTAAAAAAGACAGGAGAGAGCGAAAGAGTGAGAGAGGGAGAGAGAGAGAGAGAGAGAGAGAGCGAGAGAGAGAGAGAGAGCGAGGGAGAGAAAGAGAGTGAGTCAGGGAGGACGAGAGCGAGAGAGAGAGAGAGAAAGAGAGAGAGGGGGGAGAGAGCGCGGGAGAGAAAGAGAGAGAGGGAAGCGAGGGAGAGTGAGAGAGAGAGAGCAAGAGACCGAAGAAGTGTATACGCGGAACCGTTTTATACAAAAGTGAGTAATCGCAAATTCTTTATTTCCCACCCATTGGCGTTTTGTCTCTCTCTCGCTCTCTCGCTCTCTCTCTCTCCTCTCTCTCCGCCACCTTTTGTCCTGCACGCTTTATATTCCGAGCGACGCGCCACCTTGGTTCCTTCTTTGAATTCCCGAGAAATTTGGCTCGTATATGGCATGCCGGATGTCAGCTCGATACGTTATTGGATTTTACCTGCTTACTACAGTTTTAACGGCGGGTAACCGTAGCCTAGTCCACGCGATGGCTGAGTCTAACAATGCCAAAGCTACGCCATTAAAATTCTTCTTTACAAATGGCAACAAGAAAGTCAAGAAAACGTCGATGATTGGCAATGATGCAAGTTGTCTTGGCATTGGACTACGTTATACAACTATTGCACTACTAGGGCTACCGTAATAAGTGACATTTTGTAGCTGCTCGCCATCGGGCTCGCCTCGATTCACCACGAAAACACGTGCCCGGAATTGACGGGCCGGGTGACGGGCACGGCAATTAAAGTCATCGATATGTGAGCCGGTTTTGTAGTTTGTAGTTTGGATAGACCCCCGGGATTTAGACTACAAACTACACGAAAAATAAACATTTTAGCATGAAAAGCGCGACGGAACTCTGGGAAACGCTACGAATCGGGGTGAGGATTTGGGGGCACAAAATGGGATTTTGAACACATTTAAAGACAGGGGCAAGGCTTGGCTATGGATTTGATGGGCTTCCTACAGATTTTGCCATGCACGATGCGTAACGCAACGCGCATAAGGTGCGTTGCGTGTTTCTGAAGCAGGAAAACCTGTAGAGAATTCACAGCCTCGAATTCAACCGCCGTGCCTTGCCCATCCCTTTAAAAATACCTGAAGAATCGAGGTTAAGATTGCCGAAGTGACGACAACCGATTTCAAAGCGATCTCATTCTGGATTTCCGGCCCGACTCCGCTCAAAAGCGAGAAGCTGTTCCTGGAGCTCGACACGCAGGTAACCACTTTACGCGTTGCGCCCTAAAACGAATACACCTACGAACAGCTGCGTCTCATTCACTCTCTCTCTCTCTCTCTCTCTCTCTCTCTCTCTCTCGCTCTCCCTCTCTCGCTCTCTCTCTTTGCCCAGTCTCTGCGTAAACAGGTGTATACGTGCAGCTCGTTGTACGTGAGCTTGAGCATCGTTTCTCGCCCTTCTTCCGGTCCGGAAATTCCAGAAATCTAAGAACTTCTAGGGCCTGGGCGGTCTTCCAGCGTCCTGCCATGGGCACGGGATGCAGGTGGCGGATTATGTCGACAAAGCCTGGAAGCAGACTCGGGATGCATTGACGTTAGGAATTTTGTTAAAAGGGCTAGGAATCGTAAGAATGAAATCGATTCGGACCTTTTTCTTTATTGTCGTTTCGGTACTTGCGCAATATCGGGGGGGGGGGAGATTAAAGCGCAAAAACACAGAAAAACTCAAAACATTTTTTTGTTTTGAAATTTTGGTCGAATTCGAGTATTTTTGGTCCAAAAATCGATGTTTTATAATTACTACGAAACATTTTAACGTTTTTACGGTTAGGAATGACAAAAAAAAACAGCTTAGAAACACTTCTTCGACTTAGATTAGGAAGAAGAATGTCTTAAACCAAAAAAAAGTCCCCCCCCCCGCAATGCAACGGAATCCATCGAATTCCGCGCCCTTAAAAATCAAATCGCTCTAGGACCAAGCTAAAAGATCTCGCCAAGACACACCAGGATGGCTACGATCTGGTGGTAAGTCTGAAAATCCATAAACAAAAGCTTTTTGATGAATTTCAGCTCCAAGGACACTCGATCGGTGGTTGCCTTGCCCAACTCTTTGCCGTCTGGGCGGTCGACCAAAAAATCTGGCCGAACAAGAATGTGCATACCGTTGGATTTAGCGTGCCTCGATGTGGGAATGTTGTGCGTTACACAAAATTGATCCAAAAAAAGAATTTTCGAACTTTGCGGTGGCGGTGAGCAAGGCGTTGGGGGTGGCGGTCAGGTTCTACGAGCTGGGTGATGTCGAGATGGTAATTTGGTCAGATTTCACTAAAAAATTCCCGAATTTTCAGGAGCATCCCCCGCTGAACGGGGAATATAAGGAAGTGACGCCCATCTACCAAGCAACTCCGGCAGGGTATTATCATTCTGGGGTACGTTTCTACGCAGGCTGGCCGTTCGTAGGCTTAGACTTTGCCGTACCTACTTAGGCTTGACTTTGCGTAGGCTTAGGCTTGGCTTTGCGTAGGCTTAGGCTTGGCTTTGCATAGGCTTAGGCTTCACTTAGGCTTGGCTTAGTCCTGGCTTTGCATAGGATTGGACGTGGGCTTGCATAGACTTAGGCGTGGCTTTGCGTATTCTTGAACTTGGCTTTGGGCAGGTTTCGACCTGGTTTTGCGTAGGCTTAGGACTAACTTTACTTATGCTTAGGCTTCGCTTTGCGTAGGTTTGGGCTTGGCTTTGCGTATTCTTCGGCTTGACTTAGGCTTGACTTTGTCTTGGCTTTGTGTAGGGTCGGGCTTGGCTTTGCATAGGCTTAGGCTTCGCTGGGCTTTGTTTGGGCTCAGACTTGGCTTACAAGGAGACGTTTTTGAGTGTCGTCGGGGCTTTGGCACGGGACCAAGCCTATCTTGTGCAGAATTTTACGCTGATTCCGAATATGTTAACCGTTTTTGCGGAATCGCCATTTCTCGAAAGTTATGAACGATTTAAACCTCAAAACAGCCCAAAATCGGCTACTTTCGATAGTCATAAAAGGCTTCAAGATAGGTTTTAAACAAAACCAGATAGTACATCTTGTTCAGAAAAAAATTCTCTATAAAATGTACCATCTTTTCCAAAATCATTGAAAAGTTGGAAAAATTTGATGAATTGGGAGGTCCATAATTTTACAAAAATTTTCAAAATTCCAGCAATTTTGAGTTAAGTAGCTTATTTTATAGAGAATTTTTTTCTGAACAAGATGCACTATCTGGTTTTGTCTAAAACCTATTTCGAAGCCTTTTATGACTATCGAAAGTAGCCGATTTTGGGCTGTTTTGAGGTTTAAATCGTTCATAACTTTCGAGAAATGGCGATTCCGCAAAAACGGTTAACATATTCGGAATCAGCGTAAAATTCTGCACAAGGCTTGGTCCCGTGCCAAAGTCCCGACGACACTCAAAAACGTCTCCGTGTTAGGCTTGACTTTTCGCAGGCTTAGGTTTGACTTTGCGTGGACTGAGGAATAACTTTACGTAGGCTTAGGCCTGGCTTAGGCTTGGGCCTGGCTTAGGCTTAGGTTTAAGCTCAGGCTCGAGTAACTGTTCTTCAGAAAGCGGCCGTCATCGACCAGCTCGGCTACACCAATACATATTGTGATGAAGAAGACGCTCTTTGTGCCCAAAGTAGGAAATCCTAAGCTTAGAATACGGCAAAACCGTTTAGAAGTAAAATACGACGGCGGTAACCCGCATCGTTTCGAGGGTCGCGAGAAGGTACTCTCGGGGGAAGAGTGCTTCATCAAGAAGTGATAAATCGTACTGTATAATTGTTTTAAATGCGACAGCATTGTTGGCATAAATTTTTTTAACAAATGGCTATAAAAAGCTTTTCCGGGTAAAAATTGCTATTCATTAAAATCGGGCTTTTTTCGGCTACAGATTTAAAAGTTCAAAATGAGGAACGCCGCGCTTTGGCAAATTTTTGATGCGAGCTATAGAATGCGAGAAAATAGGATTAAACACGTAATATTTCGGAGGTATACTAGTACTCTCTTGGCACCACACGTCAAAACTGACCACGCAACCCCCGGCATTCGCCACAAACACACACGCTTATGGAAATTGGGCACGGGTCGTGGCACCGGGGGGTGGTTATTGATAAGTTGTCGGGCGGAACTTGGCTTTTGGCTCAGGGGCTTCGGTGTCTGCTAGGATGGCTGAGAAGGCGGGGGAAGCTAATGGGTAAGTGGGTACCTTACTGTTTTCGGATTTTTGATTTGGTCTCAGTATGTCGAAAATCCATAGTGTCGAAATTTGCTTATTTTCATTTCACCACACATCAAAATTCATAATGGCCGATTTTCATAACGGCGAATTTGATTATGTCGAAATTTCTCAATTTCGAAATTTGATAATACCTAAATTTCCTAATGTCGTCATTTTAGAATTTCGAAATTTGTAATGTCGAAATTTCAGAATGCCGAAATTGCATTTGTCGGATCTTTCCAGATAAAATTTTCCCGGAAAATCCCCCAGTCCCATTCCGGATTTCGGCGTTCCGACTTCTGAATTACGTTGATATGAAATTTGGACGCTCTATTAAATTGATACACCTCGTTACACACCGCTATAGAAGAGCCGAGCTGCAAAAGCTAGCCGATAGGGACACCAGCTGGCGGTCGATCTACATCGCCACGCTGATGATGGCGATGGCTGGGATCAACATGAGCATTCTTTTCATGGCACTGTGGCCCTATATGCAAATGGTAGGTTGCCTAGTCTCTTCGTTTCTCGCTTGAGCACTCTCTAATTTTTCTGCCTCTCTCTCTTTCTCTCTCCCCCTCTCTCTCTCATGTTTCTCTCACTCTCGCGCTCCCACTCGCGCTCACCCCTCTCACTCTCTTCCACTCTCTCTCATTCGCTCTCTTTCTCTCTAGCTCTCTCTGTCTCTCTCTGTCTCTCTCTCTCTCTCTCTCTCCCTCTCTCGCTTCTTTTATAATCTTTTGCAGGTCTCTGACCGTCCGACAATCGAGTGGCTGGGTTGGATTGTTGCCGGAAACAGCCTAGGATGCTTATTTGTTGGTCTACCTGATTCATACAGTCAAGCTCTTCCTAGGCCAACCTCAGCTTCGGGTGGTGGGCCCAGAAGACGATGAAGACGGCGCATCCGCTAATTTTTGGGTTCAGCATGGCCGCGCTGGGTGGGTTTGATGCTAAAAATCGGTTTCAAGAACCCAGGATTTCGAAAAATAAATCTGTCTAGACCCAGTCAAGCGAGGGTTAAATCTCTCGCTTCCTAGTCCCTTTATACTTCAGGCAACCTCATCTACGCGATCCTCCCCATGCTCCCCGGTGATATTACTTTACCCTTGATGCTGGGTGCAAGAGTATTAACCGGATTCTGTACTGGTAAGTATTTTTCTGGTCCCGGGGGTTGTCCATCAACACCGAGCCGCTCAGGCTGCCTCGGCGTCCTCCGCTCCTTCGTCGCCATGTGCTCAAATGCTAAGGATCGACTCAAAGCTATGGCCACGCTGAGCACCGGGCTTACGATCGGCCTATCGATCGGCCCTGTCATCCAGGTAGATGTACATTAGGGCGATGATGTAACATACTTTTTCCAGATGTGCTTCATGCCCATCGGCCCGGACGGGTTGAGCATCTTCGGGGTCCGCTTCAACCAGTACACAACGCCTGGGTTCTTCATGACGGCCGTCAGCCTGTTCTGCGTCTTCCTGCTTGTCACCTGGTTCGAGGAGAATTATGTGGGGATTATTTCGGACGACGAGAAGATGAGTGAGTTCAGCCAAGCTTGTTAAGTCTAGCGTAAGCCTAAGCCAAACCTAAGCTGATAAGCCCAGCCTAAGCCTAGCCTCAGCAAAGCCCAAGCCAAGCCCAATCGGCAGTTCCTTCCGAAATCTCCTGCTCTAGGCAACCCCTGGCTGGTCATCCCGAAATTCGACCGACCGGCCGTGCTGGTGATGTTCTACCTGTGGTGCTTGTTGATGACGATCGCCACGTCCTTCTACTGGTCAGCAACTTTTTTCCTGATGAATATGCATTAAATAGATTACACATTATTAATATTATTACAGCGTGGCGACCCCGATGGCAATGTCGATGTACGGCTGGTCGAGCGAGGAGGCCGTCACGTACAACGCGTTGCTACAAACTGTTTCTTGCATTTTGTCGGCGGTGACGAATGCGCTGCTGGCGAAAACGCGACTTGGACATATGTGTGGTTTACATAGCAGAAATACCGACGTAATACCGACAGCAAAATTCGTTATGTCGACATTTTTCCTCTATTGATGTTGTCGGCATTTTTTCCGCCGCGTCTGTTTGTCGGCATTTTTGTTTTTATTATCATTGTTATCATTTTTCGTTATCGGCTTTCACTTGTCGGCATTCTGTCTTCCTCCTCAACACCTCACGCTCTATTCAGGGATCGTCGTCGTCAACTCATCGCTGGCCTGACGTTGTTCTTGATCTTCATGATCATCTTCTTCCCGTGGTTCTTCTACCCTGACGCGCATGCCGTCGCCTCCGACCCGCGTGTCTGCAACTACGCCTGGTGCACGACGAGGAGGACGTGGGTGTACTCCACACAGTCTAAAAACCGCACTTTAGCGTGCCAATCTGGCTGTACTGCTCGGCATTCATCGCCTGTTTCGGCACCGGATTTCCGTTGTGCATGACGGCATTGAACACGCGGATATCGGAGATATTGGGACCCCGGAAACAGGTTGGTAACATGTTCGAGCAGTTCAGAGTGGCAAAGCGATTGCAACATCTTCGAGCAGTTCAAAATCCCATCACTTTCAGAGCTTCATCCAGGGCGCGATGGCGTTCACCGGCAGTTTGTCGCAGTTCGCCTGCCCGATTCTCGTGACGTAGGTGTTGCACCGCGACACGTACAGGGCAGTTTTCAGGTGGCTGTACGAGAAGGATGGGTTCCGTCCGGTCTCGTTGCTGAACATCATCCTCCACACGATCGGCATCCTGATCATTGTACTTTTCTACCGTCGCCTGGTGCCGCTGGAGATGAAGCCCGAGCTCGGGGAGGCCACAAAGTACAAACGGGGCACGTTTTATCGGTTTTAAAGTTGTGATGATTTGTCGAGAGTTCGAGAGTTCTAGATGAACCCTGCGAGCAGCCCCTTGTTACTGTTTAGCTAGGGTTTTACAATGCGTGCGGTCGCGTTGTGTATTGGTGCCGCCGCAGCGTGACCGTGACGCGCTCGTCACGTCCGTTTCGCCTAAAAGTTACCACTTATGTTTGATGATGTTAGAAATCGATTGTGATTTCCGGAACAGGTTAGCAAGTAATTGAGTTAGCTAGCGTTCTGATACCTTAAAGGGGCTAGGAAGCTACGAGAATAGACCCCCATTTGCCGACTAGGTCTTGACAACTGTCGAGAGCTAGGGGACAACGGGGGTCGAGATGTAAGGCCTGTAAGGCATTGGCGATTTTCCCGCACCGCGGCAGGCAATGCCCACTGCTTCTCGGCCTTCCTGATCCGTTACGTAATATAAGTGCACGCATGCGAGTTACTTGCCCGTTCGCGACCGGATTGATAGTCATGCCTTGCTTGTTCCTTTAATTTTTGGCGCTTTCCCATTATCGGGGGGGGGGGGGGGGGGCTGGAGTATCTCAGGATGGGCGAATTTATTTGTAAAAGCCTAGAAACATAATAATAGTGATTTTAATGGTGTTTTTAGTCAAATTTAACTAGATTTCAAGGGCAAAAGGCATCCAGACTTCAAAATTTTTTAGCAATTTTAAATTATGGTAGAAATTGGTTTTTTTGATCAAAAATCGTATTTTTTAATTTTTTAACAAAGACTTAAAATTTTTCGCGTTGAATAATAGAAAACCAAACCCGGTAAAAACAATGTCTCTAATAAAGAAATTCCGATACTAACGAAAAAGTTTGTCCCCACCGATAATGCAAAAGAACCAAGCTAAGCACGTTTCCGATCTCAGCAATTATTTTGTATTTTATTGGATAAAACGTGTTAATAAATTTTATTCGTACAATTCTGTGTCGACAACATGCTATGACGAGTTGCATCGAAGAGCAAAAGTTGCGCAACGTTGAGCAGTGAAGTATGTGAGCGGCTGGAAAACGGGGGGGTTGATGTATGCAAATCTGGGTCGCGGCTCGCCTGCCGGTGGCCCCACCCTCCAGCACAGCACTTTTTGATTTTCGAAAGCGGGCTTTTGTAGGGTTGTTCAGCGTCTGAAATTACGTTTCAAATCTGTGAAGCTTGAAATAGCTTAATTTATATACCTTAAGGCTAGGGTACCCGGGATGGCGGCCATCAAGAGCAGCAAGTCGGCGCCCGCCGAGCTAGGGTTGGTTGGGTTACTTTATGCATTAAAAAACTTTTTTTCTTACACAAAAATCACAAAAAAAAACACATTTTGAGCATTAGCTACGTTATTTACGTTACGTTGCGTTTTGCGCCCGGAAGCCCGGAATCCATAGCCAAAATCCATAGCCTTGCCTTGTGCGCCTCTTGATGATCGGCTTCAGCTTGAAGCGACCGGAGAAGGAGACCGACTGGCGGGCCATCTACATTGCCAGCTTCATGTTAGTGATGTGCGGGATGAACATGAGCATCTTCTTCATGGCCATCTGGCCCTACACGGTGCTGGTGGGTGGTTTAGAACTCTCTCGCTCTCTCGCTCTCTCTCTATGTCTCTCTCTCACTCCCTGTCTCTCGCACTCGCCCTCGCTCTATCTCTTTCCCTCTCGCTCTCTCGCTCTCTCTCGCTATCTCTCTCTGTCTCTCTCTCTCGCTCTCTCTCTATGTCTCTCTCGCACTCCCTGTCTCTCGCACTCGCCCTCGCTCTATCTCTTTCCCTCTCGCTCTCTCGCTCTCTCTCGCTATCTCTCTCTGTCTCTCTCTCTCTTTCTCTCTCTCTCTCACAGGAGTCGGTCATTTTTTAAGGTAGCCCCCGATACCCACATCAGTATCCTCGGCCTGACCGTCTCGGCAAACAGCCTTGGATGCCTGGTGGTAGGTTTAATTTCAAAATTTTGTCTATATCTTAAACCTTATTACTTAAATATACCTATAGGCCAACCCAACGTTCGGCTACTGGGGCCAGAAGACGATGAAAGCCGCCCAACCTGTCGGATTCGCGTTCGCGATGGCGGCGATTGGTGGGAGGCACCTCATAAATTAACGGATTTTTAGGTAACCTCCTCTACGGTATCCTCCCCGTGCTCCCCATCTCGTGGTTCGTACCCGCAATGTTGCTGGCTCGTTTCCTGGCTGGGATTGGGGCGGGTATGGTAGATCATCATAAGCTGAAGGTTGCATTCTAGGAACCCTTGGAGTGTTGCGCTCATTTACCGCCACCGCCAGCGCGCCGAAAGACCGGCTGAAGGCGATCTCGATCTCGAGCTTCGGGCTGACCACCGGGTTGTCGATTGGACCGGTGATTACGGTAGGTGTAGATTGGAGAAAACTGCACTTCTTGGAGACGTACACGTCATGTGCCAGATTTATCTTCCGTTTTTGTAAATTCCGAAGAAAAACATTTTTGTAAATGTACTCTAGTCGCAGCTCCAGCAGCAGCTGACCTTCTCCAAAACCCCCATGTTTCAGCTGCTGTTCATGCCAATGGGCGTCGACGGGTGGGAGCTGTTCGGGCTCCCGTTCAACCAATTTACCACCCCCGGATATTTCATGTTCCTGCTCTGCATCGCGTGTGTTGTCATCTTGAACACGATCTTCCGCGAGAACCACGTTGGAATCATCTCCGACGAGGAGAAAGCCGGTGGGTGGCGAGGCGTTCAGTTCATCTACGGGGGATCGGTCTACGTCTAAATCTAAGTGTGATCAAGTCTACTTTTCAGAAAACCCGTGGTTCGTCCTGCCGAAATGGGATCGAATTTCGGTGGCCATCCTCTTCTTCGTGTGGGCGTGCATGGCCGGCGTGGGCGCTTGCGTATATTCGTAAGTTCGGCTTCGTTATCTCTATCTCTCTCTCTCTCTCTCTCTCTCTCTCTCTCTCTCTTCTTGTCTGGCACCCCTCCACCTCAGAATCTCCTCCCCGCTGACGATGGTGATGTACGGGTGGTCGTCAAACGAGGCTGTTGCCTACAATTCCCTACTCCAAACCGGAAGTTGTGCCATGTCGGCGGTTACCTACATCATGCTGGCGAAGACGCGATACGGAAAACTGTGAGCTGTAATACGTAGAGTAGAGAGAGTTTATTTTCACTTTGTCGAAAACAAGAATGTCGACATCCTTTCGAAACTGCCCATTCAGAAAAATCTCGAAGTGCCAAAATACCGACAACTTTATAGTGTCGGTATTTCAAACATTGACATATCAAAAACGAAATTCGACATTATGAATGCTAAATTCGGCATTCTGAATTTTCGGCATTATGAAATTCGACGCTTTCTAGCTTAAATATCCTGAAATGCCGAAATTCTGACATTTCGACGTTATGAAATCCAACGTTATCCGATTCGGGTTTCGAATTTTGACATGCTGAGTTTTCGAAAATCTGGGCTGTCGGCATTTTTTAAACAGCCACTGACCTCCCTAACCTTGCAGCGATCGCCGCTTCTTAATCGGCATGGGATTGGGCACGTTCCTCATCTACCTCTCGATCATCTACCCGTGGGGCTTCTACGAGGGCCCCCTCAATTTCATTGCCGCAAATGGTGAGGGTGGGTACGGTATTTATAGTGCAATTTAGAAACGACCGGTGGGTGCCCGCAGCACTATCTGTGGTGCGCTGACTACACGAGAGTCCCATTTTTACTGTATTCCACTGGGTTTATCTTGGCGCTCGGTGGGTTTTCTGGTTACTGTAGGGACTGGAGCTTTAGGGATCGGATTTCCGACAATAGTGGGACCGCTGAATGCCTTGTTTTCTGAGGTGGTCGGGCCGAGGAAGCAGGTCGGTTAGAGAGCGAGATAGAGAGAGAGAGAGCGAGGAGATAGAGGGAGAGAGAGGAGCGAGAGAGAGTGAGAGTGAGAGAAAAGAGAGAGAGAGCGAGAGAGAGGCAGAGCGAGAGAGCGAGGAGATAGAGGGAGAGAGAGGAGCGAGAGAGAGTGAGAGTGAGAGAAAAGAGAGAGAGCGAGAGAGAGCGATAGAGAGAGCGAGAGAGAGAGAGAGAGAGAGAGAGGGAAAGAGAGAGAGCGAGAGCGAGAGAGAGATTTCGGCATTTGCCCTCCATATAACCACAATCCATTCCAGAGTTTCCTCCAGGGCCTGATGACGTTCACGGGCAGCCTATGCCAATTCATCGCTCCCCTCATCATCATGCCCGCATTCGAGGTGTCGGGATTCCGTTGGGTGGCCATGGGGACGTTTATCCTCATTTTATGCGCCATTGCCCTGCTGACACTTTTCCGCCACCGTATGGTCCCTCTGAACATGGACCCACCGCGTGGACTCGCCACAAAATACAAGAGGGGCACCTTCTACAAAATGTAGACGAATAGCCCCTATCATTTCCGGATTCCGGGTGCGATCTCAATAAAAATATATATGTTTTTCGCACGGAAGTGGCTCTGTTTTTGAGTTTCGGCTTTTTGAAAGTCCTGAAGCCGAAATCAACATAAAAAACGCCGAAAAACGCATAAGTGAATGATGGGGAGAATCGGGGAGAAATGAAAGTACTCAAAATCGTAAGAAAATAGATGTTGAAAGCCTGTCGGGCCTTCGGATGGGCGAGAGGAATGTCATCATTCAATGGTGGTGGTAGTGATAGAATTTTCGCAAAAATAAAAAACAAAAAATCAAAAATTACGAACGACAAGCGAAGGGATTACGGTAAAGCGATAGAAGTCTCGGGCAATATACGGGAATTCACAAAGTTTTGTCGAGGAAAATGAATGCACATCAGCTGGGGATACCCGCAAAATTAAGGGATTGGGAGTCAAGGAGGGTTTTTTAAAGGGATGGGAATTTTTGATAAGATATTTTGTTCTCTCTCTCTCTATCACTGTCTCTTTCTCTCTCACTTTCTCACTCTCTCTCCCTGTCTCCCGCTCTCCATCTCCCTCTCCCTCTCTCTCTCGTTCCGTCTCTCTTTCTCGCCGTTACTCTCGCTCTGGTCATTCTCTCGTTTTTCTCTCGCTCGCTCTCTCTCTCTCTCTCTCTGATTCAATCTTTCACTTCTCCATCCCTTTAAAACTTCAAAAATTTGTGAGCCATATTCGGGCAGTGTTTTTCATTAACATGGCGGGATATAAGACATCTAGTGGCAGTGGCAGTTACAGTATTCTCAAAACGGCAAAAATTACTGGGTTTAAAGGGCCCGGGAAGTCACAGAGTCGGTCCAGAATCAACACGAAATTATGACTTCCCAAGCCCCTTAAATTTCAAGCTACAAGCTACACCCACGAATCGTCAATGGGGCGGTCGCGTTGTTTCTGGACAGAGGCATACAGCGGTTCTCGCCTCTCTATCTGACCGTACGGGGGGCTGGCGTACGGTGCGGGGGGGTTGATCGTACGGTGACGGGGGCATGGAATAGCGTCCATCTAGGCTGGGCGGTGCCTCGTAGTGCTGGGCGGTGGGGGCGGCTGCGTAGCGGGCGTAGCCCCCGGGGGAATTATTTCCGTAGGCGTCACCGATGTCTTGGTAGATGTTGGATGAGCGGGCGGGAGGGGGTGGGGGAAGTGGCGGTTGGTGGGAGACCCTGCAAAAAAACAGGGTTACTTTACATTTTGGCATTTCGAAATTGTCAAATCCCGACAGCATTTTACGTTTTTATGTTCTAAAATGATCAGGACAGCGAGCAAATGTTCAAAATTTACAAAAAAATTGCAAAAATTTAGCAGGAAAAAGTAGATTTTGCATGTCGACATATTGGTCTGTCGGTATTTCAAGTGTCGGTATTTCGGCTGAGGTGATTTTCGCTTGTCGGGATTTGTGGCTACCGTGACCTTGACTTGTCGGGATTTATGCCGTACAACTGACGATTCGGTATTCTGAGTGTCGGCATTTTGAATGTCGGCATTTTGAGTGTCGTGATTTTAGCTATCAAGGTCGAAATATCAATTTTCTGAGCAGGTATAAGCTCGAATTTTGGCAAAACGTGTGAAAAACCGCCTTGCCGACCTCTTTAGGCCCTTTTTCAGGGTTTAAAGGGACCGAACAGGCAAAGACCGAAATGCCGACAAATGAGTTCAGGATGCGAAAATCAAAAATTCCGATTTTTCTACCAAATATCGACCGTCTGTCGGTATTTTCGAGAGTCTGGGTTCTAAATAGACGGATTCGAGCTTGTCGGGATTTTTATGTCGAGATTGCGGCCTGTCGGTATTTTACTTGTCGGCATTTTCGGCTTTCGGGTCTTTTCGTAGAGGAAATCTCACGACTAAACGACCCACCCGTTCGTATAATGGTTCGTCGGGCCAGAGGGCGTGCGCGACAGTGATGGTTGATTGGAGCGTGCCGTCCTCGTGTCGTCGTAGTACTAAACGATACACCTTACACCTCAAGCCTCAAGCATTCTTTTGGTTAGTGATCTACCACGATTGTTGTGTTAATTCCGGGTTTTACACAGAGCATCGACTACGCATCCAAAGCACAGTAGTCGCACAGGGAAAGAGAGACCGGAAAGAAACGGAAAGTCGCGCAAAAAAAATAATTCTCAGTCTCAGGCACGCACACAAGGCACTCGAGGGCCAAAAGAGAAAATGAAAATATAGAAAACGCAAATTCTGGGGGCAATTTGGGGATTTTTCTGGTTTAAAGGGATCGGGAAGGTACAGGCCAAAATGCCGCCAAATGGATTTCAGGATATCGAACTCGAAAATGTCGATTTTTCTACCAAAACATCGATTTTCTGTAAAAATCCATCTTTCTCTGCCTTGCCACTCCCTTTAAGCCCTTTTTCGGGGTTTAAAGGAACCGGGAAGGCAGAGGTCGAAATGCCGACAAATGAATTTAGAATGCCGAATTCTAAAACGCCAATTTGTCTACAAAACATCGATTTTCTGGGCCGAATAACACCGAATTTTGAAGACGGTAGAAAAACAGCCTATTTCGCTGCCTTGCCGGCCCCTTTAAACCATAAAAAAATGCCGAAAAAGTTGGGGGATACTGCTCGCCACATAGCCATACCTTTGGGCGATCATTTACGCGATTTCTTCGGCTTCTGAAAACGAGATGCGGGGTTCTGGGCGAGAGAGAGTGGCGAGAGAAAGAGAGGTAAGCAGAGAAGCAGAGCGATTTTGCGTGGGTTCGGGGGTTTACCTGTTGTTCTACGGCTCCGTAGCCGCTGCTCATCGTGTCGTCAAGGGTTCGATTTTGGCCCTTTGGTCGTTCGCGGCCCTGGGAGTGGATTGGGCGGGCGAGGGTGGCCGAGTCGCCTCTGAAAAATTGGATTTTATTAATTCAAACTTTGTATTAATGTCAAAATCCTAGGCCGTCAAGTTCGAGCAGTTCGGCGTTGATTTGAGAAATCGCCTAGCGTTATTTGAATACCGACGACAAATGACATCAATTTCAAGCCGTTCAGCGCTAAATTCGGAACAAATTTAGCATCATTTTGGACAAAGTACATAAATCGGAAGAGGTGCGTTTTAAAAACGCCCCGTAGCGGGTTAGCGCGGATTGAAAAAATTTCATGACGTCATTTTCGAGCAGTTCAGCGTTAAACCACGAAGAAGGTGCTCGTAATTGGCATCAATGTCAAGTCGTTCGTCGTTTTTACGAAAGGATCAAGCCAAAGAAGTTATCTTAAGTTTTTTTTAACTAACCTCTTCGACGACCCGGTCGCGTAGAAATCGGAGTCTTTGAGCCCGGCCCTCTTGAAGCCGTCCTGCAGTTCCTTGTGCTGCCACATCACGTACAGCACCTGGGTCGCATATCTCCCCACCCGACCGCTGTACATTGGGAACGATTTGGCCAGGTGCTGCAGCTTCTCGGTGCCGTGGGCTTGATGGAGGTCTCTGGAAGGATGGATTGAACTCCTCGAATTCGTCGAGGCCCGGCTTCTTAGCCAAGATTTGACACTCACTTGGTGAACTGTGCGCTCTCCCGAACCACCTCGAACAGGATGCCGAGGATGGCGCTGATCGTCTGATCTGAGGGTCCCTTGTTGGCCTCCCTTCTTGACCCAGGCTCCGGCAGCTTGTCGAGTAGTTCACGCATCGCGTACTTGCCTGAAATGTCAATTTTTAACCAAATTAAGCCGAGGCCAAGTCCAAGCAGTTCAGCGCCTACCGATCAGCTCTCGATTTTTGGTATCGACGGCCAGGTTTCGGAGCAGCGTGGAGACGGAGCAGGCGAGCCGATCGTCCTGCTGCTTGACGAGCTCGACGAGCATTGGGAGGCCTTGGTTGACCCTGACCAGGCCGCGCACTTCGGCCGAAGCGTCGAACTGGCAGCCGGCCAGGTTTTGGAGGGCGCCGGCAGAGGCTTCAAGAGTTTCCGGGTTCTGGGCGTCTTGGAGGAGTTTAAGGTACAGCTTGACGACGTGGGCCTGCCAGAGGATGGCGCCGCCCTGGAATGGAGGGATTTAGAGAGGAGAGAGAAAGTGAGTGAGAGAGAGTGCGAGAGAGAGAGAGTGAGAGAGAAATTACATACCGACGGAAAGGCATCCGCTGCAGCCGCCTTCCCCGCCTTGGTCTTCTTCTTCTTCTTCTCTGGCTTCGGACTCCCCGAAGGCGCCGACTTGCTCCTCCCGTTCACCTTGTCATGCGCCTTGTGCGGGTCGTAATTCGGGTCGACAACCTCTTGCACGCGATAGCTCAAATTCCGCAGAATACACACGACGTTTTCCACCGTTGGCGTATCTACCTAAAATCCGTCCATAACTCCAGGCTCTGGTAGATGACCTACCTGTCCCCTTTGGACGGCCGTCGTCAAGAAGTGGACGAGGGCCTCGATAAAGTGGGGGAATCTTCGCAGCAGGACTCGAGCCTGGGGGGTGGCCGCCGAGATGTTCCGCAACACGCCGGTGGCATTTTTGAAGAGGGCGGAGTTGCTGTTCAAATGGCGCAACTGGTCGAAGCCGGTCGACATTCCGGCAGGGACGTAGCCGCTGCCCGGGATCACCACCTGGAATGGGTTGTTGAACAGATTTAGAGGTATTGCGCCGGTTGATATGACAAAATTGCTTACCACTTGCACAAGCGGTTCAGCCGCAGCGCCAAGGATGGACTCCTTCAGCTCGTCGGCTGAAGACAAGTTCCATAGGGCTGCCGTGGCTTCTTCCTAAAGAAAAAGGGTCTCGGGAGCCTGAGCTTAAGACAATCTGAAGCACCCTATTAAGCATAGCCGAACTCCTTGAAGTTGACGGCATGTAATTTTTGGCCCTCCCTTTCAATCCACAATAGTTCAATCCATACCTTAACAGCGGCGTCGTGCGTTGTCTGCACGAGTGCGGACAGCATCTGGATCCCGTTGGCCTGGTGCACGGCGAGCTTGTTCGGCTCGTTCTCCCGCCCGAACGAAAGATTCTTGAGGCAGGCCGCCGCGTTTTTCTGTGTGGCCGGGTCGTCGCTCTTCAGGAGAGCGACCAGCTTGGGGACGCCTCCCAATTCTCGTGTTTCCTCCTTGATGAGGTTGTCGGAGAAGGTCAGATGCTGTAGATAACCGCTCGCATTTCTCTGCTTGTCTCGATCGGCATGGGCCAGGTATTCGATGACTTCTTTGAGGTTTGGGTCTCGCCATTGCACTGGAAGGGGTCAAAATTTGTAAAAAAAAACAGTTATAGAAAAGACCGAGATAGAAGGGAGGCAGGGAGAGAAAGACAGAGAGAAAGAGCGAGAGAGAGCCAGAAAAACCTAAAAATCAACTCACAATTCCCATTCTGATTCCTCCGTATCGGCGGCGGGCTATCATCCCGGTCCGGAAGCGGCGGGCTCTCCCTGACCATCTCCTCTTGCAGCAACCTGATCGCCCCGAACCGCTCGGCCTCGACGTACTTGGCCTCGCCCTGCCGGGCCGTGATTAGCACCGGCGGGCTGGCGTCGGACGGCGGGGAGCAGCCCGAAACGTTGTGGGCCAACACCCGGAATTGGTACTCGTGGCCGATGATGAGGTCACCGACTGAATTTTGGGGTTAGCAACGCGTGCGAGCAGTAGAAACCTTTCCCTAATGATTTCTGCTAGCCTGCCCCGAGGAGCTTACCGGTCATTTTGCACAGATGGATGGGTCCCTCGTTGACCTTGTACCAGTTGGAGTCCTGCTGGAAGTCGCGGAATTCCACGTCGTAACCCATTACGGGGAGCGTGGATTTGGCCGGCTGCCAGCAGAGGGCTATCCGATCACCATCTACTTCGAGGTATTCGGGGGCTTCGGGTTGGGCGGGGACGCCACGGCTCGTTGCTGCCTGAAGATGAAAATTAATGGGAAATAGAAGCTGCTGTTTTGACGAATTTAGGTAGCGTGCGAGGCACTACGGAAGTGACACCAAGAAACTTACCCTTTCGTGGTAAATTTGATATTGCTATAGGTTATTGATAAAAGTGTGGAAAAATGGAGTAGAATGTTTTTTAGATTTCTCGGTCTCTCTCGCACTCTCTCCGGCTCTCTCTCTCTCTTTCTCTCTCTTTTTCTCTCTCTTTCTCTAGCTCACTATCTCTCTCGCTCCCTGTCTCGCTTGCTCTCTTTCTACGCTCTCTCTCCGGCTCTGTCAGTTGCTCTCTCTGTCTCTAGCTCTTTCTCTCTCTCTCTTTCTCTCTCTCTCTCTCTCTGTCTTTCGCTCTCTCTTGTTTCTCTCGCTCTCTCCTTTGTCTCTCACTCTCCCTCTCATTATCTTTCATCCGTCTGCATTCAAGAGAATTCAGCTAGAAAAAGTAAAAGCGCGAGACAGAGAGCGTGAGGGTGAGGGAGAGAGAGAGGCTGAGAGAGTGAGGGTGAGGTAGATAAATTCTAGTACTGAATCAAATGCCTTTTAATAACCCCATACCTTCCAAAGCGGCCGTAGCGACACCACTTCCGACACTTCCGACGGCAGTGATGAGAACCCGTCCATGATGGAGACGACGCGGAACTCGTAGGTGCTCCCCGGCCGTAACCCTTCCACTTGTATACAATTGTGGGGCAATGGCTGATTGCTAGCCGCGTACCACTGCGGGTCTCCGACTTCTCTGAAAATAGTTTGTAGCTTGTAGCCCAGGATTTCGATACCTGTACTCGACGATGTAGGCGATATCCGGTCCTGAGGCTTCTTGCCATTCGAGCTTCACCCAGTCCATGTCAAATTCGACGATCTGAAAGCGGGTTGGGCTTTAGATATTTTAAATTATGTAAAAAAATATGAAGGGTTCTGTTGTATTATCGTGGGGATCAGGGGAATATAATTTTTTATCGCTAAAAATGCCCACAACGGAATAGAAGGGGATTTTGGTTTAGTGTTTTTGGTAAAATTTAACCATTTTTAAAGCGGAAAAACTAGCCAAAAACTAGCCAAAATTTTGAAAATCCGCGTTTTTGCATAAAAAGGTCACTTTATTAATCTTTTATCAAAATTTTTATAGTTTCTGCAATCAGAAAACGTAAGAAATAGTTTAAAAACACTCCTTCTGGTTATTCTAAAAAAGATACCGGTGAAAAAACTTGGCTTTTCCCTTATTAGCCCCTTCCCCCCGATAATGCAAAAGCACCATTTTAGGAATAATAAGAGCTCATAGATAACATTATGATGACAATTACGGTAGGAGTGCGATACCTGGGGCTGGCCCGGAATCGGGACTCGTTCGGAGACGGGGCGCCCCCCAGCTCCTCCACCACGCGTTGGGGCTGCCGGCTGAAACGTTGTTTTCATAGTAATATTTTATTTTATATATTCGAATTCAGCGTAAAAAATTGCAAAAGATATGTCTTTGCTCCCATTAATGCGCTCACCTTGATATGGGTGGGGCCGCTACCCCGGCTGGCCACGCCCACCCCATCAGCGTTCCGGCCGCGTACCCGAAACTCGTAGACGCCGTTCGGGCGCAGGGATTCGACTAAAAAAATTGGAGTGCTGATACAGTACTACAGTACTATAAACTACAAAGTACGCAAATTCCAGTCGAGCCTATCAAAACCAACCTGTATATCTGGTCTCAGTTATCCAAGTGTCGGTGGCCACGATCCAGTCAGTGGTGCCGTAGACGCGATATTCCACTTGGTAGCTGAAATTATGGGATCGATAGTCAGTGCGAGAGAGAGAGAGAGAGAGAGAGAGAGAGAGAGAAGTGAGCCAACCTACCCAGCCAATGGTGCAGCATGAGCATCGGCCGGTGGCCCCTCCCACTCTATCGTCGCCCTTTGCCCGTCGACAGCGATGACGCTTGGCCGGCCGGGAGCACCAGGTGTCGGAGCGGAGCCTGAAAAACAATTTTAATCAAGTTCCGTAGATTTTTCAATTATACAGAATTTATAGTTTTAGGTTTCTAATGTTAGGGTGAACGGGTGCGCTATAAAAAACCGGGCGGACGCGTTGCGGCTCGCGCACGAGGCGACAGGAAAAGACTCAGGCTTAGGTTTAGGCTTGGGCCTGGGTTTAAGCTTAGGCTTAGGCGGAGGCTTAAACTTAGGTTTTATTAAGCCTCGCTAGCCAGCAAAATTGCCCTGCCTTGTCAGCTCCTTTAAGGCACCCACGTTTCCGGCGAAAAGGCCGATAATCGAGCGGCTGGAATATGATTTGAATATAGCAATGCTGGTAGGGCAAAATTATCTCAATGTTGGCCATAAGATTCTTAGGGTTTGGAGGAGCCAGGGAAAATGTTCTGCGGCATTTCCTAGGCCGGGATAGGCGGAGAGGGCAGAAATTTGAGACGCCAACAAGGTGTGCAATATTCATCCGGCAAAGGGGGGGAGCATTGGTTTCTAGACGCTAATGGGTCGGCCGAGAGAATATTGGGGCGATTTTAAAGGGAGCGTGCCAGTTGGGGATCGGCTTTAAAGGAATTGTCAAACGGGAATACGCTGAAAATGGCGGGTTATAGCGTATTGAATTCTTGGCGAACAAGTGACGCTGTCAACCCGAAAAATCAAGCTAAAAACGAAAATATTTTTTGGAAAAGCTGTTGGGTTGGTCTCAGTTTTTGCTGAAGCTTACTTAGTCTTAGGATTGGCTTAGCCTTAAAATTAGACTTTTCTTCGGACCTAGGCTTAAGCTCAGGTTAAGAATAGATTTAGGCTTAGGATTAGGCGTAGGCTTTGCTGAGTATTAGGCTTAGGTTTAGGCTTAGGCTTCGGTTAGGCTTAGGCTTTTCTTGGGCTGATTAGGCTTAGGCTTGAGCTTATGATTAGGCTTAGGCTTAAACTTAGGCTTACTTTAGGCTTATGCTGAGGCGTAGGCTTAGGTAAAAGTCATGACTACGCGAGGC